AGGACATGTGCAGGTTACGAAGGTTTCGTTTTGTTTGAGGAAGAGGAGCCACCAAATGTGCTGAAAGTGCCCAGAGCCGTGTGGCGCTGGTCAGCCAGCTAGGCTACCGTCACCCCCTCACTCCTCTTTCCATCACACTGCACTGCCTTCTTCACCAGTTGCCTCGCGACTCGTATCTGAGCTGCGACTCTGGTCTCGCTCCGTGGCCTGTTTGATCCCTACCCTCGTCGATTGCCATTGCATTACCCCCCATGAGATTCAACTTACATATATATGTAGGTAGAGCTCGCCCATGCACTCCCTCCCCTCCTCCAAACATTGCTCTGCAACATTGTTCTCGAGAGACGAGTCACGCCTTTGATACTGCTCCTGTTTTCTTGTAACCTGTCGGATCCTTTGCCTTTATTTGCTTCGAGCTGTCTTCTGCATTCGATTGACAAAGTCCGTTTTCCAACCGTACCGACTCACAGTCCTTCAGTTCACCATCGCAGCCATATTTATCAGCGACTCGAATTCCACTTTCCCATCTTACAAGTTATAAACTCAAGAAGCAACACGAGGCCGGGCTCTCCCCGTCCATGATGAGTTGCTCTATATAGCGAACAGCGACCTTGGTGCTCAACCAAAGCCCCCGCTCCCTTCCTCCGCCCTCTACGTGTTTGATCTCCAGCCCACAGCCCCTAGTCAGACTTGACGAAGGAGCTCGATGTTGTTGAGACTGCCACGCTATCCTTCACCAATCTATGCCAGTCTCACCACAATTCGCCTTTCAAGGAGCGTTAACGAGGTCTACATTGAGCCCGCTGCACTTTCACTCTCTCCAGGCTTGCTAAGCATCCGTTGACGGCCGTAATCGCCTCATCTTTTGGGAGAATCAAACTCGGACACCTCTGTATTTTCTCTTTCCGTACTTTACCCACCACTACTCGACCCTTGCCAGCATCCAACATGCCTCCCTCTCACTACTCCTCCAGCTCCTCGGTGTCTAGCCGCTCGAGCCATAGCAGCAGCAGCTCACGCTCCTCGGCCCCGTCACGTTCTTCCCGTGAAGAAATCCGCTCCACCAAAGTGGCACTGCCTCGGAACCGTAAGGCCTTCTCTTGCATCGTCTGGTTTGCCGGCGGCAACCCGGGCCTCGTCAAGCACATCCGGCGCGATGACTTTACATACACTGTCGAATCCAGCCGCGATAGCCGTGGTCGGCGCAACAGTGACGGTGCCGCTACAATCTCGGAGCGCACAACGTCCCGGTGGCACTTTATCAAGGTTACAGATCGTGATTATGACGACGACGACGACGATGACTATTCATCACAGAGAAGCCTCCGGCCGCGTGGAGGGCCAATGCCCTTCCGCGGTGCCGGTAGGCAACCTGGGGGACAATCCCGTCGACCAGGCGGCGCTTCTGAGTTTGGCGGTCCGCCGGCTTGGGTAGGTAGGCCAGGCGGTCCTGGTGGTGCTGCCGGTCCAGGCATGCCGGTGGCTCCCGGCGGTGGTCCGTCGAGACCTCGTATGCCGAACGGGATGCCTATGCCCATGAACGTGCCCGGTGGCCCGCAGCGGTTCCCGCCTGGCGGGCCACCCGGGGGACCGGCTTTCCGTGGGCCTATGCCTGGACCTGGCGTCCCACGCCCCGGAATGCGTCCAGGTGTGCCTGGTGGCCCAGGTGGACTAGGTGTTCCTGGTGGCCCCGGCGGCCCTGGTGTGAGGCCGAATATTGTGGATGTATGAGAGGGCATCTCGGCCCATGGCTAAAATTACCATGGCGCCGCTTTGAATTTCATTTCTGTCCTTGCTTTATTTGCCCTTTAGTTTGTTCTCTCGTACGAAACGACTTCAGTATGACTTTGCGGGCCTATGATGGCTGCCCATCTCAATTTATAGCCTTTAGTTTTCTGTTTTACTTTATTTTCATATCTGTCGAGGACGGGGCCGTCAATCTGCCGTGAGTAGGAATGGTTTTGTCATTATACTTTATTATCCTTTTTGTTTTTTTTTTTTTTTTTTTTTTTTTTTTCACCCACCTCTCTACCTCTGATGTTGTTTCTTATCCGCGGTTCGCGCCCCCTGCTATCGTTTTTGGTTCTGCCCATAATTTTCTACCGTTCGCCCCCAGTTCATTTTTTGTTGTTTCAGCATTGTCATCTTTTACCGCCTTCTTTTCTTTTATCACTTTCCTTTGACGCAACAAACACAAACAGCCGGGCACCAGATAGACCGTAAACGGCACTCTGGACAGACAATGCCCAGGATCAATACAGTAACGAATAAGACAGGAAATCGAAACCAGAGAACACATCGAAACTAGAGAACACAATACTACCGCACGCGGCCTTTCTTTGCTACGCGTATCGTGACGATGAATGCGGCTCTGCGTTTCGACGTCATGCTCCGCACTCTTGCTGCATTCTTTGGATGCCCGCTCAGCAAGTGATTATGATAGGCTGAGCATGTGCTACTAGCGCCCTGGGAGCTGCAGACTGAGATGGGGTTCTTTTGTTCTTGATAATGGAGAACAACCCCGGAAACGTTCCTGGCAAGATGCCGCTGGCGGCACTGGCAGCCCGAATAAGGCTGTCAGACATTGTCGGCCATTGTGAGTTATTAACAGGCAGACGATTTTTGTTCTCTGTGTTCCTGGATCCCTGAAATACCCGCTCCCACGCTTTTTGGCATATTTGCGCCCTCTGCTGCTTGGCACGGGAGTTCGTGTATGTCTCTGCCCGCGTATGTTTTGCGACGCATGTCTTGGTAGCTTGGATTGGTTTGTCGACACTCTTGTCATCGCGTGTGAAGTGGATCCAGGCCAGATGGGTCCAAACCAAGTAGATCCGATGTTTCTAGGCTGCAATGGCTGCCTGATGATAGGCGCGCAGAGGTGCAAACACCAACAATACAAACAAGTCAGAAACGCGGCGGGTTGTGTGAGAAGTAGAAAATAACATGGACAACACAAAACAATTAACAAGCATTGCCAGCCGGGCAAGGACAAGCTCTGCTCAATGTGCAGTCGGACTGGACCGGGGACTATCAACTGGGCAAATGACTCCAGAATGGCCCGGCTGTAGGTTTGTCGTCTAGAGCGTCTTGGAGCCTCGCACAGTCATGAGTGGTGTCTTTCTCTCCACTTTCAGGGCTCTGGCCAGGCTGCAATAGGATATGCACGTCAGATCCAAGAAGGATGCACGGCTGGAGGGTAGCTGGCGCAAACCGCGAGCCCATCAAACGGCCAGAAGAGGTCGGCCCTGGCCATATTTTACATTTTCCTTTTCGCCCCGCCTACTTTTTGTCTTGTAGTTTCCTTCAATCTCCAGGGCGGGTCTGCAGGCTTTTTCCGTGTGAGGTGTGCACTGCATAATGGTGAGAGATGGTATTTGATATACCCTACGAATTACAAGTATTTTGCACGACGTTTTGCCGGTACGAACTCCGCCGAAGGGGGTATTCGTAAGTATTGCAGTTTGTAAGGTTCGCCAACTGGAGACAGATGCATATTTGTTGCCGGAAAAAGAATCACAAGAGTCACCGGGGGCGGTTGCAGCATTGTAGAGGACGACAGAGATCAAGGCTAGGCTGAGGCACGAGGGAGGGTGAGGCACAGAACCAACTGCGTCACTGTGAGGCCAACGGCTGCGGCGCGAGGGCGTGGCTGTACGCGGGGTGCGTTAGGAAGGTCATGCCGTGGCCTACTGAATTGAGGTTACGTCGCTCAATTGGCGCTGTAATACAGCATACGTCTGAGAGGAACGCAATTTGATGGCACCCAATAATTGTGCGACGGCCATCCCGTAGCGTGTCGCCCAGCAATAAACCGTGCGATATGTATCGCGCCCTGCAACTTGACATGTTGCGCGTCCTCAACGTCGACCAGGGCAGAAGACCATCAAACCAGCACAGTTTCTCACTGCACGTTGATCCTGCGGGGAGTGGGAGTGAGGGGGGGATGGGGGGGGGGGGGTGCTCGGAAGTCTTGCAAAACGACGTTGCAGCGGTGCTCCTTACCCTGAAGCCTCCTCGCCACGTAAACAAACGGCCAGTCGATGCGGAGATAGCTCTTTCCCTATTCACTGCCTATTTGCTACCCCGCTATGGGACGCGACGCAGTCACGCATCCTCTGCGTGGGACGGAATTCCCCTAGGACATTGGCCTCACAAGGTTTGTGCATAATGCGCCTGTCCAATCAACTGCCGCGCTGCTGTGTACAGCGACCTCGCTGCAAAAGTAGGATGGAGGCTCGGGAGGGTCTTACGGCCCAAAGGTCGTCTTTCGTCTTACCGACAACGCATGCCGCGTGAGGCCCCTGGAGCAGGAGCAGAAGCAGGAGCTGGTTCGGTTGCATGCTCTCGTTCTCTCGTTCTCTCCTCGTCCCTTTTCCGATTATCATCCTCCGTAGGAGGCGGCAGCGGGGGGGTCATTGGGGCCTTGCCCAACGGGTCCTCTTGCGCACCCCAGAGAGACCCATACGATGCGGCGATCACCGTGCAGGCTGTGTGGCGGAAAACATGACGAGCCAGCACCAGGCAAAAGACTGGACCGGCTGCAGGTAAGCGGACACGGCGAAGCACAGCACCACAGGGGCCAGATCGGTTGGCCTGACCAGGGGTGGCTGCAGAAGGACGTATCTTATGACGCAGATGGCCCCGAGAGTGGTACTGCTGCCTCGGAATGCAGGTTGCGATCGGGCACGGTGAGCTTGTAGTTGAGGCTGCTTCGTCAGGCCGTATAAGATCTTGTTCTGTCCCTCCTCTTCTGCTCTCTTATTTCTTTGTTTTTTTTCTTCATTGGATGGTTTCAGGTTACCTACTCTCCTTCTTTGTCTCTCTTAATACTCACTTTCTTCCCATTATTCGTTTTCTATCCTATTTCCTTGTCGTTCTTTCGTCCAATGCTAGTCACTCAATATTCTGTTTTTTCTCTCCTATCCTGCTCTTCTACCATATAATTTCTTTCATTCTTTCATTTTTTTTTAACCGAGGAGCATCTTCCTCTCCTCGCCCAAATGGCGACCAATGCATCCTGCAATACCATGACAGACCCTATGGCCACCGTCAGTCGGGCCTCGGATCCCTTTACTAGCCAGTCCTCGGTGCCGTCGGCCGCCCTGTTGGATTTCTTCTTCCCGGGTCTGTCCGTCTTCACTGGTGCCCTTCAGCGGTACCTGCATATCGACCTCAACTACTATTTCCCGCTCGTGCTGTTTCTCGGCGGTGTCACCTTTGCTTGGAATTACTTCAGCAGCTACCTTTATGCGCAGCTCGAGAACCACTTTATGTCCACAGTCGAGGTCCGCTACGACGATGAGGTATACAACATGCTCATGACCTGGGTCGCCTGCCAGCCGTTTGCCCAGAACGCCCGTCGGTTTATCGTCAACACCATGGTCGGATCTCGCTCATGGTCGGTTTGGGAGTTGCAGTATGAGGAGCGCCGTCGCAATGCCTACGACTCGGACGACGAGGGCGGCGATGACAGCGACGAAGACGACGACGCTGGGGCCGACACGTCGCCCGAGGGTCTCGCGAAGAAGAAGAAGCAAAAGAAAGCCCTCTCCTACACCCCGACCTTTGGCACGTACTACTTTTGGTTCCGCGGCAGCCTGCTCGTCTTCCGCCGCACACAGAGCCGCGACAATGCCGCCGTCAGCTCCGACCAGCGCGAGTCCATCTCTGTGTCTTGTTTCGGTCGCAACCCGGCCGTTCTCAAGCATCTGCTGCTCGAGACCCGTCGCATGTACATGCGCCGTGATGTGCACAAGACCGTCATTTACCGTGGCAGCAGCAGCGGCGGCAGGTACCGTGTCGGAGAGCCCACATGGATGCGTTGCATGGCCCGTAACCCCGCCCCTTGTCAACGGTCATCCTGAACGAGAAGGTCAAGGACGGCCTTGTGGCTGATGTGGAAGACTACCTTGATCCCGTTACACGCCGTTGGTATGCGAACCGTGGTATCCCTTACCGCCGTGGTTACCTGCTGTACGGTCCACCGGGTACTGGCAAGTCGTCGCTGAGCGTCTCGCTCGCCGGCCACTTTAACATGAACATTTACATTGTGAGCTTGAACGGCGTCGCCGCCACCGAAGAGACTCTCTCCGTGCTGTTCAACGACCTGCCGCGTCGCTGCATTGTGCTGCTAGAGGACATTGATACCGCCGGCCTAACGCATACGCGCGATCCCTCGTCCAGCGGCAAGGACGAGGGAGGGAGTGGATCCGACAGTGGCAGTGACAGCGACAGCGACAGCGACAGCGACAGCAGTGATAGCAGCGAGGATGAAGATGGTGAGAAGGACGGCGGTGGCGATAAGAAAAAGACCGATGACGACAAGGACGGCAAGGAGAAGAGCAGCCGCAGCCGCAGCAGGAAGAAGGACAAGGCCGGCCGCTTGTCACTCTCGGGACTGCTCAACATCCTCGATGGCGTTGCCAGTCAGGAGGGCCGCATCCTCATCATGACGACGAACCACGTGGAAAAGCTCGACAAAGCGCTGATCCGTCCCGGTCGCGTTGACATGATGGTTAAGTTTGACCGTGCCGATCGTGACATGACAGAGGCTCTCTTCCGGTCCATTTTTGCTACGCTTGAGGGAGATGGCGTACCGGTGATGGACAGTGCCAAGAAGGATGCTGAGGCCAAGACCATGACCAAGGAGGAGATTGCGGACGAACAGGCCGCTGCTGCCGCCCGTCTAGATACTTTCGCCAAGGAGTTCTCGGCCGTCATACCCGAGCTCACCTTTAGCCCCGCTGAGCTGCAGGGCTTCCTCTTAAAGCACAAACGTGACCCTGCAGGTGCTGTCGCGGGTGCCGCCGAGTGGGTGACGACGGCTAAGGCTGCCAAGGACAAAGCAGAGAAGCGCAATGAGCGCAAGAAGGAGAAGTCCAAGGCCAAGGAGGACCGCCATAAGCAAAAGCAGAAGGCGAAGAAGGAGAAAAAAGCCGCCGAGAAGGCCGCCGCCAAAGCCACGAAGGAGGCTAAGGAGGCGAAAGAGAAGGACGCGGCCAAGAAGAGAGCTGTCAAGAACTTGCTTAAAAAGGCGGGGACAACATCCGAGAAGAAGAGTGACAGGGCTTCAGACGACGACGATCTGGACCTTGCAGCCCTGTCGGACCTCTACAACAGCGACGGCGATGCGGACGCGCGGAATAGCAGCGGCGAGGACGACAGCGACGTCAATATCAACGACTACAGCTCGGACACTGACAGTGAGGCCGAGAGGAAGAGGCAGAAAGAGGCAAAAAAGGAAAAGCTCAAGCTGCAGCAGCGCAGACGGCGTCAGCAGCAGCAGCGGGCCAAGAGTCGCTCGGTTGTTGCAACCGGGACCCCTGCGCAGGCTTCAGCTACCATTACACCTTCCTCTTCGCTTGCGTCCGCGGCAACTCTTACGATTCCGGCGGCGCAAATCTCGGACCCACCTGTCTCGTCGGCATCGTCCGCGGCCGATCTGTCAGATCGGTCTGGGACGTCGTCATACGCGTCATCAAAGGCGACCACTGTTGACAGCGCTTCTTCGGAAATTGATGCAGCTGATTTTGCACAAAGAGTGCAGGACAAGACTAAGAAGCCTATCGAGGCCTAATGTCTGGCGAATTTCTGATAGGGTTTTTTTTTTTTTTTTTTTCTTCAATAAAAGCGGGTGTAAGTAAGGCCAAGCAATCGGCCAGGGGCCAATTTCTACACATGACAGACATGATATTCCACGAATGGAGCGGCGTTGGAGAGTTCGTCTTCGTTTTGATTTTCTCTACTTCTTTTTCTTTGTCCCAGGGACCAGCTACTAGACCATGGCTGTTATCAGCTTCGCATGTTACGTTGTCGACAAGGAAGCGGCACGGATAGATAGAATTGGGCTATCTCTACAAGTGACACTTGCGGCTTTATTAGACACAGCATCTATCACAATACCGAGTGCACATGACACAGTAGCACAGAGCACATATGCATGAATCATGCACCCGATGCTATCGAAAAAATCGTGTTGTGCTATCCACAGAAAACAAATCCATTCTAAATTTTGATATTAATTATCCGCCACACAGCGACATTTGTCTCATTGCTCTTCGCTTAGCGGAGCGTAGGCATGGCCACGTCGGCCTTCTGCGACAGAGCATCAGCTGCCTGCCACATCGACGTCACGGTCTTCTGCTGTGTATAGAAGTTGACACCCGGGCGGCCGTAGAAGGTGTTGGCACCGCCACCGGCAACGGATGCTTTGTTACCCGTGAAAGAGAACATGGGCAATGGCACCGGGATCGGTACGTTGATACCGACCTGGCCAGCCTCAATGCGGCGGCGGAAGGTCTCGGCCGTGGCGCCAGAGCGCGTGAAGATGGCCGTGCCGTTGCCGTACTCGTTGTTGTTGATCAGGTCAATGGCTTCGTCAAGGGTCTCGACATTCAGGCACACAAGCACAGGGCCAAAGATTTCCTCCTTGTAGCACTTCATTGACGGCTTCACGTTGGTGATGATCGTCGGGCCGACCCAATTGCCATTGGGGTACTTCTCAGGCTTGAAGCCACGGCCGTCCAGCAGGATTGTAGCACCCTCCTCCTCGGCGCTGGCAATGAGGCTTTCAATTCGCGCCTTGCTTTGGGGGTGAATAACGGGGCCGAGATCGGCGCCGGCCTCGAAGCCGCCGTTGACGTTCAGGGCCTTGGCCATCTCGGCCAGCTCCGGCAGCCACGACTCAGTCTCAGGGCCAACAGTGACCAGGGTGGACAGGGCCATGCAGCGCTGGCCAGCGGCACCAAAAGCAGCGCCAACAACCGAGTTCATAAAGTGGTTCTTGTTGCAGTCGGGCAAAACGGCGGCGTGGTTCTTGGCACCCAGGTTGGCCTGGACACGCTTACCGTTGGCCGAGCCACGGTTGAAGATGTACTCGCCGGCCTTGTTGCTGCCCACAAAGGAGATGGCCTTGATGGCTGGCTCGTCCAGGATGAAGTCGACGGTGCGGTGGCCGCCATGGACGATGTTAACAACGCCGTCGGGGAAGCCTGCCTCGCGAACAAGTTCAGCCAGGATCATGGCGGCACCAGGGTCGCGCTCGGAAGGCTTCAGAACCAGGGTGTTGCCGGTTACGGTAGCAATGGGGATGCACCACAGGGGAATCATAGCGGGGAAGTCTTAACAAAACAGTTGTTAACACACAGAACGTCCTTAACGCGAAGCAGAGAGAGAGGGGTGGGGAGGGGGTTGGCGTAGAAAACATACTGAAGGGGCAGATAGCTCCAACAACACCAAGAGGCTCGCGGTAGCTGCGAGTTTCCATGTCTTTGGCGACCTCGAGGACCTCGCCCTTGAGGAGCTCGGAGGCACCGCAGGCGGCCTCAGCGACCTGCAGTCCACGGAGGACGTCACCACGGGCATCGGCCAGGGTCTTGCCTTGCTCGAGGGTGATGCTGGCGGCCAGGCGCTCCCAGTTGTCGCGGATCAGGCCGACGAACTTGAACAGGACGGACTGGCGGTGGATGACACTGGTGGCGCTCCAGGCGGGGAAAGCAGCCTGGGCGGCGGCGGCAGCGCTCTTCAGTTCGGCATCGGTCATCTGGGGAACACGGGTGACAAGCTCGTTGGTGGCAGGGTCGTGCAGATCAATGAACTCAGTGGTCTCCGAAGCGACGAAGCGGTTGTTAAAGAAGTAGGGCGTGTCGGCGACGTTGGTGGCGGCCTTCGTGATGTGCTCCGTCGGGTAGCTCGTGGTCGTGCTCGAGAGGCGGACATCGTTGTACTCGGCCGGGTTGCGACGCACCACGGACGCGTAGATGCTCCGGGTGGTCGTGCGCGGGGCAATCATGTTGGCAGTGAGGCGGCGGGCCGAGGAGGGCGCCGAGGGCCGGGCGGAGCCAGCGGCCGCAACGCTCTTGGATATTAGACGACGCATTGTTGTGAATTTGGAGTAGAATGCAAAGCTAAGCCTGCAGCGAAGAGGACGAGGAGCTGGGTTGGAGAGAGTAGAGGGGACGAGGGGTAGGAATAAAACGCAGAAAAACAAGAAACGAGACGAAGGAGGAAAAAGACAGAAGACGAGATGAAGGACGAGAGGGAAGACGAGCAGATAAGTCGCCGAGGAAAAGGAGGCCACAGGACCACCGTTGGCTAGCTCGTTCGCAACGCAGCTAAAACGGAGAGCAACGACGTTACCCGTAGAAGACAACAAGAAGTTAGAAGAGCCGGGGGTATCGGTATCGGTGTGGAGGGTGGAGTATGGGCTGTGGACTTCACATGGGAACTAGAGAGGGGGTGGAGAGAGGGAGGGGGGCGAGTGTGTGTTATTGATAGGTGAGGAGGACGACGGAGAATGAATCGGAGATGCTAGTCGTTTAGGAAAGGCAACACAAGAAACTGAGGTTCCAGCTCGGCCGCCGGCTATGCCTTCCTTTTCGGTCCAATTGATACAGTTCATCTGTCTGCTCGGGTACGGTCTTTCCTTCTATTTTGGGACTCTTCCTCTTCTTTGCGCTGCCTCTTTCCTCACCAGAACCGGCTGAGCAAACAGAACTCAATGCTCAGAGGACGGCAGAGAAAGAGCGAGAGACAGCTGTCCCCAATCAAGAACCGACCAAAAACAAAGGCGTGGAGTAGGTGCGATTCGGCCCAAGGACGGCACTGGAGAACGATAGAGCCGTTGAATGCCGAAGGGCCGATGGCTAACATTGGCTTTGCAGCTTGCTAACGCTGGTTGGTCGTTTTGTTAGTTGGACCAGAAGGTGGCTACGCAATAGGGCCGCTTGGAGGTACTGGAATCTACGCTGTAGCAAGCAGTCCAGGCAGGGCGAAGCAGGGGGCGACCAGGGGCGACTTTGACTAGCAAAAGACAGGCACAACTGTCCAGAGGAAAAGGTTACGCGGGGAAATTCCCAGGGTTGTGTTGGTGGCGGATTCTGGGGATATTTAAGCCAAAACCGCGGCAACGAATCCCACAAGCCAGCCGTATTAGCTTGCACCCTTTCTTTGCTTTATGCTGCGTTTCCCTTGTCCATCCCGCGGCTGGCCGCTGCAACGGCCATCCTACACATACAGATACGATCCGTGTTTGGTTGTGCCTTCCTTGCGTGGCGCGGGGCGGCGTCGGAAAGTTTGACAAGAAAGGGCAGGAAGGGTCTACTCTTTCCGGCAGGGGGGATGGGCGATGCTGTGTCTGATAGTTGGATAGTAGCTGCGTTTCTGCTTGCCCGAAAAACGGGAATAGCATTCAGTATTAACCAGCGAGTGCCACATTGCGTCCAGATTCGCCTTCGCCGCCCGTGAGCCCCACCTCTGGCTAGGCCGGTGGACGCCCAAAGCTGCCACGAGAGGGGCTGTAGTGGCACGCGCCGCCGCCAACCGCTGACCGCAGACGGAAGGACGTTGAGAGACGGACACACACTGGGCAGGTCATAATGCCCCGTTTGTGCCAAAGAAAAACAATTCATGTTCACAGGGACCAACTTCGACGCTTGGCAAGGCCCTCACAGGAGAACCATATTTGTTTAGTTGCCATATTGGGTTTGGGTCGTTTTCGTTCCAACTTAACGTATGATACACTTTCATTGCGCCAATTTCATAACTAAAAAGATAACGAGAGAGAAAAATTATGGAAACAAAAAGATATCCACAAACACAAACGACAAACTGCCTCTGTCTTTGCTTTGATCTACTTTTCAGTCTGATCTGCGATCCGCTATTGTTACTGTCCTTTTCAAGTCCCTGGGTTTTTTTATTTTTATTTTTTTAATTTCCTTCACCCAGGGCCTTGGCACCTTGCCGTCGTCTCAAATTTCTCCCAGACGGTCAGCTATTAGGACTGACTGCGTGTCGCGCGCTTGGTGGCACCCTCCTTGCCAGTGTCGACGCCCGAAACGACCACAGCCTCCTGCTTGTCCTTGCCCTTGCTCTGGGTCGCAGCCGGCTTACCGGCCGGAGCAGCAGGAGCGCTGCCGCCGAGGACGAACAGACCAGAAAGCAGGACGATTACAAGGGCAGCGATACCGCCAGGAACCTCGGGCACCTGCTTGACGGCCTCAATGGGGTCGGCCGAGGCGATGGCGATAAACGCGTTGATCTTCTCCTTGACGAAGAGAATCGGGTCGTCGAGGAACTTGAGGTCGGACGCCAGAGGCTTCTTCTCATCTTCAACCTTGGGCTTGTCGGCCAGCTCAAGCAGCTGCTCCACGGAGTGCTTCTCGAAGAAGGTCTCCTCGGCCAGCTTGCGGGCGTCCTCGACGGAGTGGCCGATGTAGATGTTGTCGAAGAGGATGTCGTTCTGCATGGTCCAGATTTCAAAGCCAATGGCGCCCATGGGCTCGAAGTTGGCGGGCGTCTTGTCCTCGAAGTAGGCGGGGTTCTTGATTTTGCGCGGGGCCCAGACACCCTTGTACGCCGGGTTGTCGATGAGAGGAGCAGACCACTTGCCCTTGTAGTCAGGGTTCTTCTTCATGGGCTTGGTCCACGGGCCACAGCCAGACACCTCGGCGCACTTGGGGTTCGGCACCGTGGGGGCCAGCCAGTCACCGTCCTCGTCGTCCTCCCAGTCGGCGGGCTTCTGGGCCTCGGGATCGGGAATCGTCAGCGGTTCCTCATCGAGCCAGTCCTCGGGCTTGGTGGCCTCCTCGTCGATAATCTCGAACGGAGCGTCCTCATCCCAGTCCTCGGGCTTCTTGGCTTCGGGGTCCGCGATGCGAGCCTCATCAACCCAGTCCTCCGGCTTCGTGTCCTTGGCGTCGTCAATCTCCTTGGGCGGGTTGACGGCCGGGGTGAAGTCTTCCAGGAGGCTGCCCTCCTTGACGTTCTCGCCGTTTTGCTGGATAATGTAGGTGTTGTTGGGGTGGACAATGAGCGTGTACAGCTCCGTGGTCTTGACAATGCGAGCAGTGGGAGGGCTGTTCAGGTGCTTCTCCTCGTACTCGCCAGTCTTGGGGTTCTTGTGGTTGAAGATGAAGTGGACCTTGTTGGTGTGGCCGCACTTGTCCGGGCCAAACATGATGACGTAGGGCGTGGTGTTGGCGAACTCGTCCTGGTGCAGCGCCTTGGTATCGCGGAGCAGCTTCAGATACGCGCCACCGCATTCCAGGCCGTCTAGTTGCAACGTTAGCTTTTGCGCAAAAGCGACTTCCGCCTGCACACACAGCCGCACCCCACTGATGTTTCCAGGATTTGGGTTTAAGGGGACTTACTCTGAAGCTTGACCTCATACTGTACAACAAGTGTCTTGCCCTTGTTGTCAATCTTCTTGGGGAACTTGGCCGAGATGGCGTGGTGAGCCGCCTTGTTCTTGACCACGAGACCCTTGTCGTTCTCCATGCCTTTGTAGACGGTAGGCTCCTCAACGGCCCACTCGCCGACGTAAGCCCACTCCTCCTCCTCACTGCCGGAGCTCTTCATGTCCTTCTTGGCGTGGGAGGGCTTCCACCGCTTCTCCCAGTCGTCGGTGAACTGCTCGAGGAAGTCGGCCTTGAGTTTCGTGGGCTTCAGGAGCTTGTTAGTATTGGTAACAAAGATGGCGCAGCAAACCCAAACATCGTAAAAAGACAATCTTTGGCGATGGACGCAAAGCAATACGGATTGCGACATCGCGGGGGCAAACGTACCGTGAAGGTCGGCAGCTCCGGAGCCACGGAGGAAGCGGCTGCAGCCGCGCTGTCATCCTGGACATCCTCAGCATAGGCCTTGCCAGCCAGCATGGCCGCACCAAGGGCGGCAGCAACAGAGTTGATACGCATGGTGGTTTGTGAACGGGGAGAAATGGAAGAAACCAATCGAATTGAAGGCGGTCTCAATCGCTTGCGATAAAGGAGACCTTCGAAACAGGGGCAGGACAAAGAAGAACAAGGGAACCGAGCTCTCTCTCAAGACAAACAAAAGCAGCGAGAAGAAGCAAAATTGGTGAAGCGACAGACGTCGGATTGAGGAACGAAATGAAAAGAAGAAAGGGAAGAAAGGGAAGACGATGCTTTTGTGGGTTGGAGTCTTAAAAGAACGGTTTGGGAGGCGGCGCAGAGCTTCTGCTGGTCGAGGCTACAGAATCATCCAACGTGTCCTTTTTTTACGCACTGCTGTCGGGTGGTCCTCCCTGAATGCACTGTATTTTGTCCCCGTCTCGATCCGCCAAGCGGGCTGTTGATTGGCCAACAGTCCGGTGACAGGGAGCCTCCCCTAACGGCCTCGTCAGGGTATTAAGCTCTTGACCTGTTGCAGCTGGCACTGACGCCTCTGGACAGAACGTAGTGCGGGGGCGCCTTCCCATTTTTTAGTTAATTTTGGTCAGGGACGCCGTTGGCCTGTGCTTTGCGGTTCTAACAGCTTCGAAAGTTCCACCAAGTGCCATTCCTCGGAGTACACCTTTTGCTCCTGCCCCTTAAGGTCATCCACGTGTAAAGCTGGGGTCGCCTTTCTGCGGGCCATTTTACAAGAGGAAGGCGCGAGCGACGATGAGAATTGGCCCACTGTGTTCATTGATCGCATCGACTATAAGCACAGGAAGGAACGAGAGATGGCAATTGAACTGCCACGCGTGCCTTCCAAACGAAGCGGTTATAGGAAGACAGAATGGTAGAAAATAAACCACTACCATGCGATAAAAAGATGACATAGAAAGGCCTCGAAATAACATGTCATGCATTGGGTACACAGCTTGCAGAGTTGGCCCCCACAGCAATCACGTCCTTTGATCGACATACCCTTACTCAGGCAAAGATCGAAACCAGCGACCTTCCAACTGTCTAAACACGGCCAGCAACACTGACGATTGGCTACCAAGCCAGGCATTGAGATACAGATAGGCCCGGAGTTTCACGGGAGGGACGGTGCCTGTCTATCTCAGACAATACCGTGAGACTGGCACTGTCTGGCTGTTCACTTTCGTGCAGCTGGTTGGTTTAGTTTTTGGTCGGTGAGTGAAGAAGGGCAAAGGCTGGATGCCAGGATGTGAGTGAAAACGGGCAAACGTCTTGAATAACAAAGAGAATGTCTAAGAGAGCGGACATTGAGATGAAAGAGCTTAAGGCCAGCTGTCAACTTTCGTTGACGACCGTCGTGGATATCGGCAAAGAGGCCGGCGCAGGGTCTTCCGCGTATCTTGATCTTGAGGCCGACCACGTGGAGAGCCACAAGCGTGAAAATTGCGCCAGTGGTGTGTCTGGTGGCGACAGGGACTGGAAGCCTCAGCACATTGGGCTGGCTGGTTCCAATTGGTAAAGCACGTTAGACTAGGCCATCGAAAAGCAAAGAGCTAATACAACAAATTTCCATGTCGCAGACCAACGCTCACTACCTCCGCAAACCCGTTCTGACATTTAGCCTCAATCACGGCGCAATCTATCAGCAAAGAGTCAATCAAAGACGCGACGAGGCAAGACACAAAGTGAAGCAACGGGAAAATCCTCCTTAGGAACTTTTGTTCCGTTTCGTTAGCCCAGGGCCGAATACTGTGGAGCTACCTGCGCATTGAGCCCCTGATATGATAGAGGGTGACTGGTACGCAGGAAAAGTCACACCCGAACCACAGTTCAAAAGGGTAGTTGCGTGGAACCGTCTTCTCTACAATCGTTTTAGCCGACCGAACTTTGAGGCTCCAAACGGCGAGCAAGAGTGCTTCCGAGAGCTAGGAAAGGAACAGGCATCAGGATGTCCGGCGAGGCCAGCGCAACACCAGACGGGGCATCGAACAACAACGAGCAGCTTGTCATCTCCATCGACCCGAAGCACCCAGCGAACCTAGTCCCGTCGCTGTGCGCCAAGTTCTGGACCCTGGGTTGGGTGACCGGTACCGGTGGTGGCGCTTCTATCCGTGATGGGTGAGTCGCAAATGTAGAGACAAACTCTGCTTTGGAAAGGCCACTGTATGGCAGAAGCGCTCCTAACAAACTATTGCACAGGGATCTTGTGTACATTGCGCCTTCTGGCGTGCAGAAGGAGTTGATGAAGAACACGGATATTTACGTTATGTCACTCGAGGCACAAGCCAAACTGGAAGCAGAACAGAAGGCAAACGGCACATATAACTTCTACCGACCGGAACGCACGTATCTGCGGAGTCCCGTGAACCTGAAGCCGTCGCAGTGCACCCCGTTGTTTCTGGCCGCATTCACGAAACGCAAGGCTGGCTGTTGCATCCACACGCACAGCCAGTGGGCGGTGCTGGTGACGCTTCTGCTGGAGCAAGATGGCCGGCAAGGCGGCAACGGGCGCGAGTTTTGTATCAACAATGTGGAGCAGATCAAAGGCTTCCGCCGTGGCTACCAGAAGACAGGCAACATGGGCTACCATGACACCCTGCGCATCCCTGTAATCGAGAACACACCGCAAGAGGAGGATCTGACTCCGTTCCTGGAGGAAGCGTTGGACGAGTACCCCGATACATACGCGGTGCTGGTGCGCCGGCATGGTGTATATGTGTGGGGTGATACGCCGGACAAGGCCAAGGTAGTGGCAGAGTGGTACGTCGCCAACCTCCTCCTTCGTTTCTCCACACGGGCCGTTGAATAAGAAGTGAAGATACTAACATGTGCTGCAGCTACGATTACCTGTTCCAGCTGGCCGTTGAGATGCGCAAGCTTGGGTTGCCGTGGGTCAGTGACATCAAGCCGGTCGATCTCAAGCACCACCAATAAACAGCTGCTCAAACACTTTGGACCCGACCAACACCCTGGAGACAGAAGCACAGCAGCGGGAGATGTCTTCACGAACGACAAGCGTAGACATGCAGCAGAAAAGGCCGATTGCAGGGGATATCTTTGATTAAATCGTTTGTAGAGAGAAGCCCTTTTTCCAATACTGCAAAATCCATCCAAGCAGCTTATCCAAAACCCTCCACCACGACATTACATTATGTGAAGTTGTATTTTTTTGTTCGAATGCGCGAGGCAAGGAGTGATGCAAATCAGCGCTATCCAACTCTCCGTGCTCGAATCATGTTGGGAAGTAAGTCATCTCCGTTTCGTTACTCCCCTGTTCATTGTGCGTCTTGTACAGATATTTACAGAGCAATCAGAGCGGCAACAAGGCCCATGAGACCAAAGGCGGACGTCGTGACACGCATGGCCTCGCCGCCGTTCTTGGAGGTGGTTGCAGAAGCAGTGGAGCCGGTGGCGGTGCCCGTGGCAGAGCCAGAACCAGAAGCAGCAGTCTTGTCGGGGCTGGAGCCAGTCTTGGAGCCAGCAGTACCAGTGGTGGTGGCAGTGCCGGTGGCAACAGCGCCAGAGCCAGCGGCGGCGTTGGTCTGCTCCGGAGTTCCGGTAGACGTGTAGTAGTTGGCACCAATGCAGGCGGCGACACAGTCGGCGTATTTCAGATTGTCCGAGGCAGTGCCGTTGCCCTTGGGGCAGTCAGCCACGCAGTTGTTGGTGGCATTGGCCTGGGAGGCGTTGGGATCAGGGACCTGGGAGAGGAGTTAGCAGCAAGGTCACCTTTGGACGCACAAAGCAGTACCGGGAACAAGCAGTGGACACATACAGCAATGCACTTGGCACGGCAGCTGACGTCGTCGGCGGCGCAGGCGTCCAAGCACTTGGTGATAGTAGCCTGAACCGAGGACTGAGCAGCACCGGCACTGGACACAGCGGTGGTGGTGCCCGTGGTGGTGGACTGGGCAGAGGCGAAGGCAGCGAAGACGCCGACGAAGAGGGCAGCGGAGAAACGCATGGTAGCGGTTGGTGTGGTTGATTAGGTGACTAAAGTAGACGAGACAGGATTGCTGTATAAAGAGGCCAGAAGTAAAGGGCTGAATATTTGCAAAGAGCGTGAGAAGCGAAGAAAGCGAGTGTAGCGAACGAGCGTCTGGGGGTGAGTGGTATGGATGCTTGGTGAGAAGAATCTGAAGAGAAAAAAAAGGGAAAGGAGAAGAAACAGAGATGACGAGAGGAAGAAAAGGGGAGAGGCCTGGCCACTAACAAATAGTAAAATCTTTCTACGAGCTGGCCACAAAGCTATGGTCTGCGGGTGCATATAAAATGGAAATGAGCTATATGGAGCAAAACAAGCGTGTAAACAAGTTTGTGCTCACTGTGTGACACGTTCTGAGCTCTTGGTTTCTTGGCTGAGCTGCAAGGCACGCGCTGACACCCTCCCCCCCCCCTCCCAACAGTATTTGGTCGTCTCTGCCTTCTGCATTATTGAGAACGGCAAGCGGCTTCCTCTGGGCGGACCGACTGAGCTGTTGCCGTCGTGTGATGGGGGACAGCGGAGCGAAAGGAGTTGTCTGGGGGGTAGTTGCAGCTCAATTTAGCGTGATGCGAACCGTGTCCCGCTGGTCGACCGTGTGTATATCTCTTTGTCCACGCACAACACAACGGCGTTGCAGATTGGATGGAGTATATTTTTACGCAGCACTCTTTGAGACGGGTTTCCCGGTACAAATGGTGCTTTTCCTCTGCGAAGTTCATCGTGCAGCGACGCCTAAATACGAGCACATATTGTTTGAAGTCTTATTGATATGGACCCGACACTCTCCTGCGCCTTTGGTCCTTTGATGCGACTGCTCCGAACATTGTTTTATTCTCCGCGTGACTTGTGGAAGACTAAAAAAAACACGCTCCATAACCGCGCGATACCCTGGCGTGGAACCATTTGGTCCCTTGCGCACATACATGTACTTCGTACCATCAAGATCGAGGCGTTGCAGATGGGCAGGCGGTAGACGAAGTGGGCAAAACTCCACCAGATGTCGAAACCCCGTCTGGGGAATTTGATGTGAGGTTTCTCTGGGTTTTGTGGCTGACCAGTAATGATGTCCTCCAGCATGAGTTTAATGGGTAGAGCAAGGCATGTGGAAACCTGTTGTCGTGCCACGATGGTCACAATGACTCGCAAGACTCCTGCCTGAACACGGACGGACAAACGAAATGAGCCATTGCGCAAAAAGAAAAGAATGCAGAAAGCAATACGACGTACTAACAGGCGTGACGAAGGTTGCATTGTAACTGGCCCCTGCTTTTCGGCAGTCTTGGTTCGCTGGGGCCAAAAGCACAAGCGGACCGAGTCAGTCCACACATCACAGGCCGGTTTTCCGTAGCTGCCCTCCCCTTTCCCCCTGTAGCTGAGGGCGTCTTTGGGTCGCCTTCCCTGTCACAGCTCATACTTAACCATAAACCGCAAAGATACTTTTTCATTTTTAAAATTACCGCCTCTGTGAACATTTTACAGTTAACGCAAAATCGAAATACGGGGCATACGGCAGAGGAGAAGGACGATAATGTGTCAGGGGTCAACTGGGCAATGCATACAACTTTACTTACTGAGGAGCATTAGAATACTTTCGCTCGTCAACGAGCGGGAGACCCGCCGTTGGTTCTCGGTACTTTCGATGAGATCGCGTTACCCTTCGGGCCGGCAAAATGGCAAGATAGTTGCTTCGATGTGCGTGACTCGTGCGGGATAGCTCACAGCCCGGGCCAAGACGCGGACGCGTCCTGTTAATTTCTCATTGGTGCTTTGGTTGTCTGCTGCACTCGCCTCGGCACACAACACCTCGTATTCAACTGGTTCTGGCCGTGTCGCCACATGAAATCAGTCAGAAGCCGGACCCCACAAACAAGAAGGTGTTGAAAGACAACAGACACCACCGTCCATGTTCGTCTTTGCTTCAAGCCAAACATGAACTGACGGGTGGAAAGGAATGTGTCCAGTCCGTTTGCTAAGGGAACCGGGTTCAGCATTCCTGGACCACTTAGCAAGGGGAAAAAAGAAAGACAGGAGAAATGCAATTTACACTGAAACAGCCACCAACAAGAGAACGAGAAGCGAACAGCATGGCCGCCACACCAAACGGACATCGTCACTATTTCTAAACTTTTCAACCCTTGTCCGAGTTGGAGATGAAGAAGGACCAGGGGCCTGCAGCGTGCCGTGAAAAGTGGGACCAATACTGACCTTGTTCACGCCTGGTGTTATCGTCTTTCTCCTCATTTTTGCCGTATTCCTGCCATTGGCTCCTACCTCCTTCTGCTGCTGTTACATGACCGCGTGTCTTTTTGATCTTGATGGTGGACGTTGACGAGGCGCATGTTCTTTTGTGTCACTGTAGGACGATTTATTTTGCTCGTGGAAACGGCCGTCCTCTCACCCTCCCACCAAGCCGAACAATCTCAGCTGTTTCTCTGCGCACACTCCAAGGAGTGATTCACTTCGCCGACTATAGGCATTGTGTATGCTGTACGAACAGAACGAGAAAAGAGGTACAGCGGCAATGGCTTGGCTCTGAACGAAGTGAAATAGCCTGCATCACCACAGCCGCCCACTTGTGTTGCACTACAGGGACTACCATTTCTTCAAGTGAGCATGGCCGTTCGATCGTTGAAGCAACCGCCACCTTGACCATATCCCCTTTCTGTCCGCCAAAGATGTACGCACACGTCATGGACATCTCACCCACTACTGCGGAGTAAACTACGCCTCTGTCGGCACTCACGAGACCAAGGGTCAACGAGATAGGATTGTTTTCATCGACTTTAAACTTACATTTTACTACTGGCCGCGTATGAGCATAATACCCCCCCCCCCCCCCCCCCTAACGAAACAGTATCCGCCATACCGAACCTGGAAGTCCATAGTACGTCTATGTTGTACATGTTGAGACAGGCTTTATTTACTTTTCCAATGCGATATCATATCTACTATCATGCTCTCTACTTCGTAGACACGGCTGTGGACAAAGATGAGACTGGCTCGCAGGAAGCCCCATTCGATCAACTCACTTAAAATCGGGGCCTGCTCACGCCACGTGATAGCATCTCGAAAGGATTCCATTGTAACATTGTAGCGTACAAAGTACTAACACGGAAATACTCCATTCATGGGGCGCATTTTGGCCTAGACTTCCTTGCACAAGGCTGATCCGCAGCCTTGTCTCACGCCCTTTTCGTCCTCCCTTGCCAACATTGACCATATCTGCAACTACCAAGGGATGACGCCCTGGCGGTTGGTGTATGTCGCCGTCTCGCCATCAGGCCCCAACGTTGCCAAGCGTACTGCGTTGATCGACCCGTTCTCGACAGTGTCGTAGCCGGCGTATCCGTTCAGGTTCGTCGCGCAATAGCCCGGGCAGTTGCAGTTGATCTTCCAGTTGGTCGTGTCGCCCTCCAAGTCCACCATGTAGTGCCACGCCAGCATGTTCAGCGCCGCCTTGCTCGTCGTATACGCGCGTGCGACGTTTGCGTGGGTCTGCGCCTTGGGGTCCGACTTGTAGCCCATGCTGCCCAGCGTCGACGACATAAACACGATACGCTTCGGCTTGTTGGTCTCAATCGATTTCTTCATGAGTGGCAAGAACGCGTCCGTCACCGCGGCCACACCACTGACATTGGTGTTCATGATCGCGGCCCACTCGCTGCGCGTCTTGACGGCCGAGCTGGCCTTGGCCAACTTGGGGTCCGTGTAGTTGCTAATGCCCGCGTTGTTAATGAGCACGTCGAGGCGGCCGTGCTTTTGCTCGACCTCTTGTGCCGCGGCCTCGATGGACTCGTCTGAATCGACGTCCAGAACGATGGGTTCGACGGTCAGGCCGTCGGCCTGCAGCTTCTTGGCAGCCTCTTCAATGGCGTCCTTGCGACGGCCCGCCATGACAACAACATAGTCTTTCTGTTCAGTGGCTAGGCGCCTGGCTATCTCGAATCCAATGCCTTGGTTGGCGCCGGTGATGAGGGCTACAGTCTTGGAAGCCATGTTGGTGAAAGATCGATTTGATTGCAAAAAAAAGCGAGGAGAGGAAGACTTGGTAAAAAGGTGGATGGCTGGTAAGCGGGTAAAGTACATGGATTAATGAGGCGGTCGTTCAAAATGATAAAACGAACCAGGGGCATCCACAGGCTACTTCAGCACCCATCTTTATATATTGTTATGTGGCGCTCGATGAGAAGTATGCCTTCAATATGTTGCCACGAATGTTGGTAGCACACGACCTTGGCGGGTACTGCATTGGTGGACGCGAATTAGTAATGTGGGTTGATGACGATGTTGTCTACCCGGAGAAACGACCAGTAAACTCCGGTTGGCGACAGGCGCGAAATGGTGCGGCGCTTTCATTTTTTCACAAAGAGACTCCCGCGCTGCCACGCTGCACGGCCCCTAGTTCGCGGTGTTAGTGTTTTGCATCAAAAATAAAACCCGGAGACATACGTTGCGGAGAGTTTTATATTACCGTTGTGCACGGAAACATAAGAGTGTATGTCCAGCACCGGTTTTGACGTATACGCGACCTCCGTCAACACGGAGGAACAACAGACGATGACAAACCAGACCAGGCGACAACGGTGAAACGACGACAAGCAGCCTTCTGGACACCTATCATGATGCGCCCATGCTCGCCTTTGTTGCGAAGAACGAAAGAAATTCGGCAGCGTTCGTCGAAGCTCACGGAATTCCGTTTCCGCAAGTGATACCGTCTAGGCGCACTGGGGGAGCATTTGATTCGGCTTTCGCCTCTCCTGTGTGTGAACATTTCTGTCCAACACCCCCCGTCCCTCCTTGGCGTTCCTTTTTAGGTCAGCCAATTTGGAAAACAGGCAACGGTATAGTTTGTTCATATTCGCGTAAGAATGTGTCAAGTTATGTAGGCGCCAAGGGCGGCATGGGCCGACGCACTGCCGTCCGGGCCTGTCTGCTGCATCTGGGTATACGGCAAATCATACAAGCTCGGCGTCGCCCGCCTCGACGAGCGGCTTGGCATCTGACCACCGCAGAATCAGCACGTCCCCGTCCTCGCCTTTGACGATCTCGTCGACGTCGACGCCACGGCCCCGGACGGCGCCGTCACGCAACAGACGCACAAAGACGGCACCGTCGAGATCCGGGCTGTCAATCATGCTGATGTTGCCGGCGGTGTCGTTGAGGTTCTGCAGGTTCGGAGGGAACGCGCCGAGAAAGGACGACAGGTAGTGATTGTGCAGCAAGGCTTGATGGCGCGTGGCGTAGGCCAGCTCCGTGTCGGACATGCGTTCGCGCAGGTCGGGTGTGGACAGGTAGTGCAGTGTGTGTTTGTCAATCTAGAGCAAATGGCCGCGTGGATTGCCCATTGGGTCAGCTTTGAATGCTCTCGTGCTCATGTCGTTGGAGATGAGACAACTTCTTCCTCCTCCTCCTTCTCCTTCTTTTCCTCCCCCTCCCCCTCCCCCTCCCCCTCCCCCTTGTCCCTCTTCTCACCTTGGCGATACGCGCACGCAAGTAGCTGCGGACGAGGTACTTGTAGCGCTCGAGCTCGGTTTGGATGACGATAAGGGCAAAGTTGGTCTTGGGGTCCATGTCACCAGTCATGTCCTCGACGGTTTCAATTTGGTGTGTGATACGTTGGTTTACGCGTTCAAACAAGCCAATGGGCCATCTGCAAAGAATTGGCAGTCAGTACTCGGTACGGACCCAATACATACTGTCCGGAAACAATCCCCTCTTCGGTCGGCACCCCGCCGCCATCGCCGACACTCAGACTGGGATGTGCGCAAACGTCTCCCCTTTCTGTTGTTTCCCCTCGCGGATCCAACGAGTATGCATAACCCAGTGACTGCTGCATCTTACGCTAGTAGCTCTGGAGCCGAACGCTCAGCAATCCAAGCTCGTGTGAGGGCCTGGAGGTCGTGCGTTTCCTGGCCGGTGATGGGGTCGAGACTGGGGTCGACCTCGCGCAGGATATCGTCAATGTCCATTGCGAGAGGACGCTGTGGTATATGGAGTCGTTTATGAAGTCAATCAGCTGCGGGCTGTCGTCTGCTGGTCGTGGTGGTGTCGGACGGGTGCATGCGTCGATGCGTCGATGCGTCGAGTCCTTTGAACGGTTCGAGGTTTCGCGATAGGTGTTGTAGTAGAGTGAGGGACGCGTTTTTTGGCGTGGCTTGGGGCCGGGCCCAAGTGAGCCAGGGTCTCCGCTAAAACGCTTTGCTTACTGGCGGGGTGTACTTGACGCGTAAAGTAATCCAATTATAGAGGGAGGGGTGCTGGCGTTCCCATATACGGCCAAGTGAGCAAGAGACATTGCCGAAACCACTGAAAGCGACTGAGGACACTGAACTAAACCATCCTGCGCAACACGTGTGTTCGCACCAACAGCAGATACGCAACTGACCCGGCCTCCTCCTGCGAGCTGTTCCGGCGCCTGCTAGTTTGCGAAGCGCATAACCTATGACGGAGACGGTTACAGGCGGGATGGATCGATGCCGTCACCACTCCCGAGAGGGCAATCCATCAATACGTAACAAACAATACGAAGATTCATACGCTACGCATTGCCTCCAGCGTGCAGCAGCTGACCGCCTCGTCGTGCGGTGATATTGGAGTTGATACCAACTACGACTCAAAACAAGGCTAGAGCGAGAAGTTTGCCAAAGTATACAAGTGTCCGCTACCGGACTCTGGAGGCCATGAGGATCTAGATTTGCACGTCGCGTTAATCTCGACTCGTCTTGGTCGTCCCACTTCGCCGCTTGCATCATGGACGATCGTCCAGGAGAAGAGCCACCCGAAGAGAAATACACGACGATGAAAGTACTCCGTACCTCGCCAGTCTCCAACAGCGAGCTCAAGCATATCCAGCTGAAGAGCGGCGCCCTTCGAAAGCCGGATGTGACGTTGGAGGCTCAAAAGTGGTGCCAACGCATTGGTGCCGCGCTTGGCACGGGCCAAACACTGGTTATTGGCTGTCTCACCTGCATCAAAGACAGCTGCAGACTAGATGAAGCGAGAAAAAAGCGAAAAACGTGCTTCGACTGCCCCCAAAGAGGAAACGAGGACGGCGATGGCGGCCCACGGTGCCCACCGCCTTGCTGGGCTTTCGGCCGGCCGTCGAATCAGTAAGGAGCGGGGCCTGCGAGGTGGTTGTCAGCCCATGCAGGCCCCAGCCTCCGGGCGAGGCCATTCGCGATTGCAGCTACCAGGTGTGGCAGGAGAAATGTAGATAAGAGACAGAGACGCAAGGTGAGACGATGTAAAAGAGAATGGGCGACGGGCGATAGTGGGAAAGAGGGAAGGAGGAAAAGTAGGAAATGCGGAAGGCGCAACGTCGTGAGAGAACAAAAGGCAGGAATCACCCGAGTACGTGAAGTCATTGTCGAGGCTGAGAAGTTATGCCTCCGTCTTCCATCTTGCGTTGTATATGGCTCTGCGTTTCTACTTCACATTCACTGTCCCGTACAACCCATCTCGCCATTGTCAATCTACGCAGTCGTTGACCACACAATCAGCTGCTCCGAGTTTCTTCTTGGTTCACCCTCGGTTGCTCGTGTTCGCTGTCATCCCGTTGGCTTTTTTTTCTCTCTCTTTTGGCTTCTCGTTTTACGGCTTAACGAAAACCAATTTTCCCCTCTCCTCTCATATTGGCCAAGTTGGGCAAGTGGCCGGGGCGTTTTCTTTGTTCTCAGTACTTCGTGATGCCTAGCTCCACCCGGTCACTTACACATACCTTCCCACACGCTGCCCGCTCTTGTCCACTCTTGCCCACTCCTGCCCACAGAGGCTGGATTGGTGAACAACTGGTTCTCGTTCGCACTTGCCGCATCCTTCTGAGCCCGCCCACCACTCTTGCCTCGAACAGCACCACCACCTTTTCGGGGCTGCGTGTTTTGTATTTTTGTTATTTTTGTTATTTTTTTTTTTTTTTTTTTTTTGGGGGTATTTTGTGTATGTTGATTTTTGATTTTTGTCCTACTCTACCATCAGCTGCATCCACTGTGCGTCTCAGCCTCTCCGGTCTCACGCTTCCCACTCTGTTCGCCTGATTGGCAAGGGAAGTTGCTGCCACCCACGACGATTGCGGCCTGTTGGTCGTTATCGTCGTTTGCCGTGTGTCTTCTGGTACCCATCCCTTTTCCGACTGCCGTCCTCTTCACTTGTCGTCGGTTTTATTTTTCAACGATTCTGCCTTGAATTTCACTGATTTTGTGTGCCATTTAGTTCCATCCCGAGTCCATTTCGCGAACTCTTCAACGCTCACCCGAGCTCCCTGTTCATCCTGGGCATGGTTTACGCTTCTTATATCGGCTCTTCCCTCCTGCCTCCAAACAGCCCGTTTTTTCTCACAAGCGTCTTGAGGCGTTGCCGAAGTCCCAGCTCCACGGTGTGGTGCTGACGATATGTACCCAATTCGACACTATCTGAGACACGGCAACAAAGGATACCTTTACTTACTTCCCAAACAAGCTACCATCGAGCAGCCAGACCCGCTACTCTAGCCTCCTAGCTCTCATAGTTCTACGCTTTCTCCTGTTTCTTCTTGGCCTCTCCTTGCTTCCTTGATGGCTCGTCTATTTTTTTTTCTCTTGCCATCGACCGTCCGTGTGACAAAGATCTAGGAAACCGGTATTCGTGTCGTCCGCCTCTTGTTGTTTCTTTCTTCCCCTCCTCTTTGGCTTGCAACCCTTATATTCTCTTATCCCGTCGACGTTTCCTCCGTCCTGGTCGCCGTTCTGTTTCGCACATTATTGATTCTGGACCATCATAAACCACCGTACAACTCGCATCCGGCATTGTCAAACTGGCATCACTCGACAATATTTACAGCTAAGTTCTGAACAACGCACTTGTCACCTCTCTATATTTTTCCGTCTCTTCGCACGCCTCGTATGGCCTGATTCGACACACTGTCTCCGAAAAGACACATTTTTGGGCACCGCCATTCGGGTTTCCAAATAAAATCTCACACCTCGTCCGATCAACTATGCAGCCGTCAAAGACTCCACTATGCCAGTTGCTGTAGGACGTCTTGTCGCCCATGTCCTGGGCTACCTTAGACCGCTGCATATCCCAACTCATGCTCGAGGTCACGATACAGTACCAGCCGACGGCCTTTCACACGACTTCTTTGACGGCTTTGCCCTTCAGCCGGCTCTCGATGGCCGTCCGCCACAAGTCGGCTTTCGCCGTCCACAGCAGACTGAGCATATGAAGCGGGATTGCCTCGCCAATGGCACCAATTTTTGCTTTGGTGACAGCAGCAGCTACTGTTCATTATGCGGCACATGCTGCTCAAGCCCCAGCAACGGCAACAACAAGTGGTGCTGTCCGTCCGGCGGCATCTGCTGCGGAAACTCTTGCTGTGGCAGCGGGCAGTCATGCAACAATGGACAATGCTATCTACCTGTGTACGTGAATGTAGGCGGGAGATGGTCTACATCCGTCTTCCTTCATCTTCTATGATATATTTTGTTTGCTAACAACTCTTTCCAGTGTGACAATCACCTCCACCAGCTCGGTTGTGGTCACACACACCCATTTCGCTTCAAGCCTCGCAACCGTCATCCAGAGAGTTGTCGAAAGTTCTGTTGTCAAGTCTATAGTTGACGTCACGAACACAGATGCAGAGACACAGACAGTAGGTGCACACTGTCCTGGGCAAGTGGAGTGTATCGAAAATTACAAAACTAATGTTTATTGTTTTCACAAAAGAACTGGGTTTATGTTACGACGACTTCCATAGGAAAGCGCGCAGAGCCGACTGGGCTTCCTTTGGAAGACATCAACCGCCGTCGTCCCGGTGCCATCAGTGAAATGGCCAGTGCCACACGCATCGACGCAAAATTAAGCTCACTGCCGCTACCTATCCAGAGCCCATCCCCGGCCCTAATTCCGTCAATAGAACCCTCGGCGACCTCCGAAGCAATTGCTTCGGAGAACATTCTTCCTCGTGATGCCCAAACAGACGCCAACACCATGGCTGCCTCCCGTTCTACGTCGACTGTAATCGTTTCTGCAATAATCACGAACATTGTCACAAGCTTCATTGCTTCGACTACGACAGTTTTAACTACGTCCACCAACGTCGAGACCATCTACCAGACGAATACGGTGTAAGGCCAAGCAACCAACACCATGAACCTCGGATCCCATATACCAGTCTACTAACCAGAAATAGAGTCCTAAACGCCAAGGCCACTGTCGAAGCAACCTCGACATGGACATATACGTCGCACCACCCAGTCACCGTCACAATGACCGAATTCTCGACAAATTCTGAGCCTGCGTCTCAATCCACAGAAGCTCCGGCCCTCGTTACCAGCGATTCGGACGGATCTTCGACCAATAAAAACCTCTCGGGAGCTTCTATAGCCGGCATTGCTATTGGGGTGACCGCCTTCACAGCCATATTCGTTGCAGGCCTGATTTACTTTGTTCGCCGTCATCTCGCCCGTGCCAAGGAGAGAAGGGCCATTAGCGAGGATTATGCTTTCCTCGGGACAGGTCGCAGCGACTTTGAAGGCCCAACCCGAAGCAACAGCAACAGTGGCAAAGGCCCATCGATAGTCATGCTCAACAGGCACTACTCAGGACCCCCGCCGCCAAGCGCTCGGCGACCCAGCGCCCAAATAACAACCACTCAATATGCGGATCCGATGCAGAACGAACGCGGACTCCCGCCGATTCCGTGGTACTCGACTACGTCCAAAACCTCACCTCCCACGTCACCTATCTCACCTACCTCAGGCTCCTTTCCCTTTAGCAGCGATCTCAAGCAGATAGTGTCACAGACATCTCCAGCATCCCCAACGTACGCTCGCACATCCCACATGCGCTCGGGAAGTGCGAACACAACTATCACAGCTGGCAGTTCGACAATTGCCGGTGGTAATAGCACTCAGACGAGCGTGCGAAGTAATTCGGGTAAGACGGTGCGGTTTTCTGACAGTGGTTTCTCGCACCAACGCGCTTCCTCGTCAGGTTCTGGGGCGGGTACTGTAATCGATTCCTCAAGCGACGTTCCAATGGAAACCTCTGGCAATATCCCTAAGGTCCAGGTCACGCCGATTTCTCCAGTCACACAAGTCGCACCGTCGAAACTGCCAAGCGTGCCCGCCCCATGCGCATATTTATCGCCCGACCCGCCGTCACCACTGCTACAGCCGCAGCTCGGTCCGCTCCGAATTGTTAATGGTTCGATTGATGATGCGTCTGATCAAGACGAGCCAACTCCAAAAAATCCTCCGCCGGCGCAGTGATTAAAATACATGTTACGAATTTCATTTGTTCTCTTTGATGCCTCTCCTATGTTTATAACACTTTCCTCAATCATTTACCCTTATGTTTGTCGTTTACTTTGATACCATTTTTCAGGTTATGTGCATTAGTTTGCGTTTGCATTTTCATTTCCACTGGATTTCACCGACATCTCACTCGTTTCATGATACATGCCGCCGTTGGGAAACAGGACGCAAAATCGTTGTGCGTTTCAGGGGGCTTTGTTTTGTACTCTGGAAAAACTAAGGAGAGGGAACAAGAATCTGCATACATTCGCTCATATATACATTGTCGGGCCGGTTGACAAGACAAGGCCATATCGGAGTATGTTTTACTATGAGGGGACTATGGCGGAAACACCTACCCGGAAAGTAAGAGGGCCCCGGTTCATACTCAAGGAGAAAACGCCATTGACGCCGCCAAGGGCGTCGTATTTAGGCTTTCAAATCAAGAGCATACAAAGTGGTAAAATACATTAAACATATCAAGTTGGGCATTCCAGGTACCTCTTTCCCAAAACCAAAGCATATGCATGTTGTATAATCATTTCCTAGGGAAGATATATCCAAAACTAAGAGTGAACCCAAGAAATACTAGGAGCAAAAATACATGTGTAAAAACAGAACCAAGAAAAAAGTAAAATGAAAATGGGTGAACTCCGCCATATAATGTGTGGATGCGTCTAGCAAACTCCAAGAATAGTAGATAAAAAAAAAGTAAAAAGCTGCGAAACAAATAATGGTCCTTTTAGATGCATTTTCAACTGAGGTAATACCATGCTGTAGTTCTATTTAGCCACGGTACGCCCGGTACCCTGGGTACCCGGTACGCTCCGGCTGTGGCTGTTGCAACGGTGGCGGCCTTGTCGTGTTGTTCAATGGCTGGCTGCTGCTGCTACTATCGTAGCCGCCGGTGTAGTTGTTGGCGCTGCTGCTGCCGTACGAGTCCTGGCCGTGTGCTTGCGGCCGGCTGGATCCGCTGATAAAGTCAAAACCGCCGCTGTTCTGTAGGGTCGGCGATGCCGGCATCTCAGCAGGGCCATAGTTGTCATTGTTCTTGCTGTTGCTCGTATTCGTGTTGATTCTGGTGATGTTGCTCTGGCTGCCGTAGGCTGAGCTGCCACCGTTACCCGTGGTCGCGCCCGAGTACTGGCGCTGTGGCGGGGGGCGGTTGTTCATTAGGCGGCCATTGGCAGGCGCCTGCGAAGAGGCGGCACCGTAGGGAGCCGGGCTGGCATATCGATTGGGGCTACTGGTCACACCAAAATCAGACTCGTTCCCCGAGCTAAGCTCTGGAATACGAGGAGACCTGGTGTCCACACCGCCCACATCGGGTATGCGCGGCGACCGGTTGTCCATACCGAGATCTGGGATACGCGGCGAGCGGCGTTCCATGCCGTAGCCCTGAGGAGTGTTGTTGGCACTTCCACGGTAGCCGTCATAGTAGTTTCCGGCATTAGGACCCTGGTCGGCACGTCCATAGCCACCCTGTCGTTGCTGTGGTGGCGGGCTGGTGCCACCGTAGCCAGGCCGTTGGTTGTTGAATTGGTGCGGAGACTGACGGCCCATTGCGCCAGCACCCAGAGCACCTGCAGCCATAGCACCGGCACCGTATCCACCATGACTGTTGCTGTTATCCTCCAGCTCGGCATCGTAGTGGTCCATAACACCCGATTGCTGTGGGCTCGCATAGCCCGGGCCGCTCCTGCCGTATGGGTCAGAACCGGCGCCAGCCGCATTCGGGATAGCGCCGGCAGCGAGGTAGCCGTTGGACACAGCCGGATGACCGCTACCGAGGGTGTTACTAGTGGGCGACCGCGCACCGTACGGGCCAACGGGACTGGGGCTGCCCAGCGGGCTCGGGGTGCCAGGGCCGGGAGAGACGTTGCGGGTATTCAAAAGCGGTGCAGTCTGTGTTGTGTTCTCTGGTTTCTTGAGGTTGTCCATCTCGACCTCATCCTCGAGGTAAACCTTCTTGTTGTTTGCGGTCTCCCAACTCGGCATGGCGGGAAGAGCATCTTCGTGACCGGCTGATTTGCTGACGTCGAAGTTGGCGAACTGCGGAGCATCCGCAACTGGTGCCTTGTACGGCAAACCGGTGGCCATCGGGGCCTCGGAACGATATCCCTGGTGTGGTGGGATGTAAGGCTCGTCGAGGTACTTGTTCCTCTTGCCACGCGGCGGATCGCAGCAGCCACAGCAGTCACCACAGCACTTAAGGCAATAGCAGCATTCGCAGCAGCACGACAACCCGCAGCACAAGCAGCGAGCAATGCACCAGACGATGGACAGCACGATCAAGCCGCCAACAATGATAATCGCGATAACCGGCCACCTAGAAACACATGTTAGTGGTTGGCTAGTTTGGTAGTGAGTAAAAAAAAACCGGAGTGAAAAGAAAATAAACATACTTGCAAAAGTCCGCCTTCATGCAGTTATCCCAACTAGAGAAGGCGGTCTTGACGTCTGTGATCTTACCTTCCACATCAGCAACACCTCTGCCGTAGACAGCTGGTCCAACGGCTGCAGCGAGGACATCAAGAAGGCTCCTCCTCGTCGCAACGCTCCGGATCATCGCCACGTCGATGGACGGCATGTTGGGATTATTTGGAATTAAGAAGAAGAAAAAGAAGAAGAAGAAGAAACGTGAGCTACAACGCTCAGGGGTGGCTCTGGTATAGAGGGAGAGTCGACACGCAATCTCAACGTAACAAAAAAAACCCAAGGTGGAACGGCGGAGAGAAGGAAACGATGTCGTCACTCGAAATTCGGTTGGTTCGGCCCCATACTTGTCGAGAGTTTCGCAGAGGTGAAAAAGTTCGATTCGACGTAGTCTCAATCTAGGCAGATGTAATTTCCAGGAAAGACCCAAGCGAAATACGGCGGTAGGTAGGTCTCGTGCAGTCCGTGTGTCCTTTCAGTTCACGTCTCGAAGTCGTTCGTTTGTCTGTGTCTTCCTCAGTGCGGCGAGGAGGAAATAACGACAGATGATCGGACAGAGTAGAAGAAAATGGGAACAGGCTAAATTTGAGTGGTAGGTCGAGTCGTGAGCGGCTTCGGATCATAGAAAGAGAATCGAATAGCACGTTGCGGTTCGTTCCAAGTGTCTACCGTGCGTAATAAAATAGCGGCTCGCGTTGACGCCACGCCGTTCCTGGGTGTTTTCCGGCCGTAGGGATATTTGAGCAGCAAAGCCGTGGAACAATGCGAGATCAGTTCGTCGAGATTGGTGTGTTATACGGCTCAATGACCGGTGGAATGCAGTCGCGCGGGTGAAGAACGAACGAGGACAGAAAGCGAAGAAAGAAAATAAGAATAAAATAGGAAAGGACGGGAGAGGGAGGGAATGGAAGAGGAAAAGAGAAGTGTGAAAGGAAAGAAAAGGCAGTACAAAAAAGAAAAGAGAAAAGAAAAATGGCGCGCAATTCAAGGATGCTCAGGGCAAACAAGGAAAAACGGAGGAAAACAATGAAAGAAAGAAAAGTCAGATCGACAACACTGCCTGGGTGCGGAAATGGGATTATCAGGAAATGGTAGGACGAAATACCCTTACCTTGATGAAAGAAAACTACAACATCACAAAGAAAGCACGCACAAAAAAAATCCGAAAATGGCGAACCAGATTCAGGGGCCGGGGATCTGGCGCAAAGCCATCTCGAGGAATGGAGTGGAGGATGGGGACTGGGAAAGGGGGAAACTGCGACCGGCATTAGGATGCAGGTACAACGACGGAAGGTGCAAGGTCCACTCAAAAGTGCTAGTTTGCAGGTACAACGTACAGCTCCACTTGACGTGAGATATCTTGGGCCCCGTCAGGAAGGACCCCTGGTGGGGTGAGGAAAGAGCAAGAAACGGTTTGGCGCGCCCCTTCCCACCTGACCCCGTTGGGGGTACCGTCGACGGGAAGTTCCCACGCTCTGAGGAGGCAAGGAGTCGAAAAGGGTACTATGTACATACAATACGGAGCCTGTCAAACCAGCACTAAGGTCGCTAAACTGACTGTGACTATTTACACAGTCAACGGACGAAACGGCAGGACGGATGATGCAAGGTGACCCGCCTGCCTGCACAAAAGCATGTAGAGAAAAAGGGGCTGGGTGACACATTGATAACGTGCTGGCTATGATTGACTACCTGCCTGGCAGTCAAGCATCTTCGCTGAGAATCCATCGCCAGTTGCGACATTACAGGTGCAATGTCACCGGTTTGCACGCGACGCCGGCGTCTTTCTGCAGACACAGGGTCTCATTACTCCGTATTCCAACAATCCTTGCCACCCGGAGGTGGCTGCGAGGCTGTGTAGAAGGCATGGCCGCGCTAACTGGACCCTTCAGTGTGCAGTGTCAAGTAGGGAGAATATGTTGTCCTGCTTCTGAGAAAGAGAGGCCCAAAGGAGTAGGCTCAGCATGTCTACGAGGGGCGCAGACGACACATACAAGGATGTCAGTCTGACAGCCCCAAAAATGGAAACGGAAGTACAATGTTCTGGAGGCGAGAAACAAAAATAGGAGCGAGCACGCAGAAAGCGACTAATACGTTACTGGCCTGTCAACATGTACGCGAGAGGCATCCGAGTGAGGTTGCGAGAAAAAGGGGACCGGCTGTGCTGGGATGTTGGTTATCGTCATTTGACGAATGCCCATGAAAATCTCGGGAATACCAAGACCAAGAGCGACAAAGCCAAGAGGCCCTAAGAACCAAGCGTTAAAAAGCAGGATGTTGTGGTGGTCGCGCTCAAACAGGCCAAGGCAAAGCAACAAGGGCAAAGTCAAGCCGGATTTTGACTGACGACCTTGCAAGGAAAAGAAACAGCCAAAACAAAAAAACGGCTTGGGGCTGCAAAGCATAGTAAGAAAGGCGAAAAGGGATGGAAAAGGATATGGCCTTGGAGCGCAGGGGTGATTGTTTATGAAACTACAGGCTTGCGCGACTGTCCTTCTAGGGCCAGGGAACAGCTTAATTTCTGCAGCACAAACTTAAAATTCATGCATGCCCCGAAATACTTGGGTTGATGACGACTGTCCAGCGGCCAAAAGAAGTGTTTTGACGAGATGGCCCCATTCCTAGCCTTTTGCACGTGTGAGGCATTGCGTCGAATATCTGTGGCGTTGCCAAGGAGCGCCACAGTACTCCACAGACTTGCTGACCACGGACCCACTCTCGTTTCTGGAACTCAAGCCTGGCCGAGCAGCAGGTTTCGAATGACGGACGTCACCGCCACGTATCTCTCCACATTACGCGTCTTGCCCAATGATCCAGGCGGCCTCCCTTGTAAACAGTAAATGTGAATAAATGTGTGTGTTGTAGCATGCCCTACGGTACGAAATATTAAACGAGAGTTGACAGCTCGAGGTCGTGTGCGGATTCTACTTGTAAATCTAGTAGTAAATCTAGAGTTACATCAACTAATCACCCTGAACCCAAGCCTGTGAGGCCCCGCTCAAATCTATCACTTTGTCGAATCTAAGATATAAGCGCCTGCAGTTGGGACAAGGCTGAGAGTAGAGTTTCTGTATCCTATGTCGACAAAAGCCAGGTTGGCACAAGACGAAGAGGGACGTGCAGGGACAAAACTGCTTAAGGAATAAGAGTAGTTTAATGCCGAACATATCATAAATGTGATTAGATACCTATTCCTGATCGTAAAGGTGTGCCAGGCTCCGCGATTTGTTTGCTCCCCAAACGCCGTAAACAGATAGTTGAAGAGGAAAGGAATTGAGAGGTGTCGGAAAATAAGACAAGACTCAAGTGACAGCGCTGCGCGACAATATCAATCTCCGAGAGATTTTCTAACAAATGCAAAGGTAAGATCGACCGGACACACAACTACGTCCGGATTGCCAACATCGTTGCTCCCCGGCATCCTACATTGCAGTCCACTCTTCCACTGAGAAGCACTTTTACCAACTAACTCAGTACACCTGTCGTTCTTTTGATGTCACTCAGAGTCGTATAGTTGAACGCCCCTCACCCCATCCAGTTCTTTTATCTCTTGGACGGCGGGGGGCCTTCGGGCGCCGCATAGTCGTTATCGGCCTCCCGCGTCGGGTAGTAGGTGTTAGACGGCTGCTGTAGGGGCACATCGTTGTTGTACGTGCCGGTGTTCTGGCCATAGTAGCCCTGGTTGCTGTTGTAGGTGCCGCCTGTGTACTGGGGGTTGCCCGAAGCCTGCTGGCTATACTGCGGCGGGGGGGCGGAGTAGTTCTGGGCGTTGTTGTACTGCGGTTGCTGGTGTTGGCCCCAGCCTCCCATCCAGCTGGTGCCGTACATGGGCCTCGTACCGGTGCGACGCTGGCGGCGGACGCGGCGGCTCATGAAGAGCAGGAACAGGAAGAAGACGAAGACGATGACGCCGAGCAGAACCCAACGACCCCAGCCGTACCAGTTGGAGTTGCGGTAGCAGAAGCCATTGCTGTAGTAGGACCCGGATGAGCAGTAGGAGCTGACAGAGAAGAGGATGTTAGCAACAAAACCCAAAAACGCACTAGAATTTGTAGTTTCCAAGGCCAGCGCAAGACAACTACAACTTACCGAGCTTCGAGCGCAGCAACTGCTTCGTGAGCTGGCGCCATTGAGAAGAAAGGGATAAAGGACGTTACAGCGACGAACAACAATTTATATGCCCAAAGACAAGGACAAGACAGATGAGATCAAGTTCGATGCGTTGACAGGTTTCCGTGCGTCGATGATGCGGTATGAAATATGCTGGGTCGATGAAGATAAAAGCGTGCAAGAGGAAGAAAGCAAGATCAAAACAGATCGGGAGGAAGAATGCTGGTGGAACAGAGACAATTAAAAGATGGGCATGAGGTGTGGGCAGAGGGGGAGGCGAACAACAAGCGTGCTGAGTAGGTGCCGTAATTATGGCGGTCTCGACGGGCGACGGAAGTGGGCACAGGTGTTTTAGCACCGAAATGGCATGCATTTGTTGCGTTAGTTCCGATCTTAGGGGGGCAACCTTCTTGCCCAGCCGCGTGTTGCTACCTATTTTGGCCCTGCCGATGCACCAGGTCAGAGATCGCAAGAACGACCAGCTCGACAGCATACGATGTACAGTGGCTGGCGATTTAGCGTCATACATCATCGCTTTGCGCCCGTGGGCTATGACTGTTGGCAGCCTGGCCAGCCCAGGTTTGGTCCATTTTACGGCCTAATTTTCCCCTATGCCTGCGGGGGTGGCAGGGCGGCACAGCAGGGAGCCCAGGGAGCCAGCACACAGCCTGGTGACGTCGCTGAGCCAAAACAAGCAAACCAGTATTTAACAGCATGCTGAAACCACGGAGGCACCCCTTCGCGACTGCCGAATGCGACAAACCATCCATGGAAGGAAAGAGAGCAGAATTTCACCTCGATTCAATTCCAAATGGGGCTTTTCGAACTAAAGTCCTACTTCATATTCCAACGATAGCCGCATTTCGACACCGCGGCCAATGACCTAAACGACTTCAGCTGAGCCTTTAGATTCATGATTTTCGCGTCGGTCGCATGTTGCTAGCGCATTCATTTTAATCCGGGCGTTTCTTTTGCAACATATTCAGCCCATTCTACGACATACTCCTGGTCGTGTCGGCTCAGGCTTCTCCTTGTCAGTGTCGCTCTTTCCCCCCTTGGGAGCTTGGCATTTTAAGTGAGATACACCGTCGAAATACCGCCATGAAATGCGACCAATTTTTCACAGGCAAAAGGCCCCAAGCCAAGGCATACTACGAATTAATGTGGCTTCTATTACCGTGAGTCTGGTGGAAAAAAAACGAGTGCAAAATCCCGATCCATTTCTTTGGCTCACTCTCAATTCTTCGTATTGAGGCGTCTTTGTTAAGGACTGTTCGCACCTTCCGACACATAGGGCCCACTTTTTAGCAAGTGGCTATGTTCTTGGCAGGTGCTCTATCGACTACACGAGATACCATGATGATTCCACAGACACGGAGATTTCACTGCCGCCACAAGTGTACCGAGTAGAGAGATGGCCCGTGAAAACGGAGTAAAATTGCACTAAGAAAAGGTGCTCCGTTATCGCATCTGTCGCATCCAATTCATCTGCCAAACCACGGACAGTCTATTGTCGCTTTATTTTTTTGGCCTGTTCTTTCGTCCAACACACGAATAATACCCTCACATCCCTAAAACTGCATATTCCAGCTTTGCAGCTTTGGCCGTTCGCCTGCTAGACTTATAACCTTACAATGGCCTCCCAGCGGGTGTATATTGCAATCATTGGTACTGCCCCTCCCCCGCCTTGGCTGTCGTAGTGCTCGCCTTTGACATGCTCCGAACAGCCTCGCCCAGATTGTCGTGGTGTACCGAGAGTCCCCGATTTTTTTATCACGCTGAACATTTAATGACCTCCCAAAGTGCAATTGTGTATTAACATGACGACCCTTGTCTCCTAGGCGCCGGTGGTGTCGGGAAGTGCTTCCTCGGCCAGCTCGCCGATCTCGCCGCTCGCCGCCCAGCTACCCACCTCAGCCTCTGCTACATCACGACCAGCAAAAAGGCCGTCTACAGTAAGGACTACAGCGACATCAGCATCACCGGCGCCGTTGATAGCCTCGCCGCCTCGACCCAGACTCCGCTCGCCATCCCGGCCCTCGCCGACTACCTCGCTGCTGCCCCGGCCAAGGTCGTCCTCGTCGACAACACTAGCTCACAGGATGTCGCCGACGCTTACCCGCTGATCCTCAGCCGCGGTATCAGCATCGTGACGCCCAACAAGAAGGCCTTTACCGGCTCGTACAAGCACTGGCAGGACATCTTCTCGTCGGCAGCCAACTCGGGCGCCAAGGTCTACCACGAGGCCTCGTGCGGTGCCGGCCTGCCGCTCATCTCCACCGTCAAGGACCTCGTCGACACCGGTGATCAGATCACCAAGGTCGAGGGCATCTTCAGCGGTACTCTGTCGTTCCTGTTCAACTCCTTTGCGCCCGCCAATCCCTCAGGCGCCGCCGCCGGCAAGTGGTCCGCTGAGGTCTCCAAGGCCAAGGCGCTCGGCTACACCGAGCCCGATCCGCGCGACGACCTCAACGGCATGGATGTCGCCCGCAAGTTAACCATCTTGGCTCGTCTGGCGGGTCTGCCTGTCGAGTCACCCACGGCTTTCCCCGTGGAGAGCCTAATTCCCAAGGAGCTCGAGTCGGTGACCAGCGGCGACGAGTATCTCGAGAAGCTGCCACAGTTTGATTCGCAGATGGAGGAGCTCAAGGCCGCTGCCGAGAAAGAGGGCAAGGTTCTGCGATATGTGGGCAGTGTCGATGTGACGACCCAGACACTCAAGGTCGGCCTCCAGTCGTTTGACCGGTCGCATCCCTTCGCCGCGCTTAAGGGCAGCGACAACATCTTCAGCTTCCACACCAAACGGTACGGCAGCAACCCTCTCATCATCCAGGGCGCCGGCGCTGGTGGTGAGGTGACGGCCATGGGTGTGACGAGCGATCTGATCAAGGTCCTCTCCCAGATTGCATAAGTGATGACGCCGCCTGGAATAGATATTAAAAAATGGATAAAATGGGCACATGAAAAATCATGACACGGACAAAAGGAAGGCTATGATAGAAATAAAACATCGATTGCTGTCCTGAACTGCCCTGCCTACACGGCCGACTCAGTCAGTGCATTCTGTTCATTATTGTTGCGACATCAGTCGACAGCTTGGTTGAGCCGGATCCGTCGATATAAGGAATGCGATGTAAAATACGCCATGATTGTGGCCATTCGGAGAGGTCGTCCTATCAGCTATTTGATGTGGCTGGTGGTTTTCCTGTGGAAGTTTTTGATCTGTGTTGTTCTTGCTGCTCCTGCTCCTGCTGCTTCCTCAGCACATGTCGCTGTTCTCGCAACAGCCGCTGCTGGTGCTGTTCTTGTTGTTGTCGCCGCAGATAAGCATTGCGGTTGACAGAGTAGAGTCGCCAGATCCAGAGGCAAACGTCAAAGACGACCAAGGAGATGATGGGGAAAACGAAAGCGATGCCAAGTGCAGCCTGTTTAGAGAAGCAACATGGTTAGCCTTGTAGCCTCCAAAAAAAGGAAGAAGAAAGAAAGAGACAATGAGACAAGAAACAACTACAGGGATTAAGGAATATGGTGAGCCGTACAAAAACACCGGATATGATGCGCACAGTCAGGTATGGGCTTTGTGGGAAGAAGGCCGATTGCAGCAGCTTCACCAGCCAGAAATCCAACAGTCCGGAACTCCCGGACGCCATGGTCCACGATGTATAATCCAGTAAAAGCCGTCGCCGACAACAGGTGTGGTATAAGAGCAAGATAGAGAAAGAGTCGGAGGTTCGGTTTCGACGGCAAGATCCGAAGGTCGTATGCCAGTTCTCGGCATGTGACGGGAGGAGAGGATGGCCAGCTGTGGCCAAGATCGAGTTCTGTTGGGATGAGCGGCCGTTCAGGGCGGTTTCGCGGGTGCCTGGCGCCCCTTAGCCAATTCTTGTGAGTTGAGTAATAAGCAGGCCAACGTGCGGTGATTGCAACGCATGCAAGTACCCATTGGCCGTTGCTGTCGTTTCGTCTCTTCGTGTTGTGTGCAAGCCGAAGAGCCAAGAGCTGCGTCGCGTGTTGGGAAGAGAGGTCGTGTTTTGGAAATGCAAAGCGAATGGAGAGACGTCTAGTCAGCTTAAGACCCGGCAGTCGGGGGGAGTGGAGCGGCGGTCATTGGGAAGGTACCTGCCTCGTCGCAAGAAAGCTCCCTTAGAACAGCCCTCTTGTGCTAGCGTCAGCTATTTCTGGCAAGTGCAGCCTGGCCAGAGACAAGGCGGGTGTTAAGCCACAAGCACGGAACTCGCTTGTACGAGGCAGGTGCAAGGGCAATTAATGCAAAATATTCGAGACATCTATTATACGCCCTCATAACAACTGTCGCGTGCCTCCTATGCGGCCGGATCCTGCCAACCTTTACTGTTTAGTCGTTGTAACCATCTCTGCTTCCTGAGTTTTTGACAGATTTTTTCTTTTCTTTTTTAAAAAAAATCAGAAGCCAAATAAAGCAAGAAGAGACGGCTGCGGATCAAAACGTTATATCTAATACTATCAATCGATCAATATCAATGTAGACTTCGAAAAATACCTACTTGTGTTCGGCTTGGCACAATTTCCTGCCTTCATCATGTTCAGTGGCAGTAACACCTCATGCGTTTTGGGTTGAGTCTGCCGTGTATTGGAGGCGCGTCAATGACAGCATTAAAGTGGTGATTATACTTGTGATATTTTTGGTATTTTTATGCTTTTATATTTTATGTGTATTTATTTGCCGATTGTCATTGTTTTCATACATTAAAAAAAACCTCTATGAGTGAATTTAAATGAGCGCATCTGGTTCAATTCAAGGCCATCGCTTGTGTGCTTCGAGTCAGTGCCCCATACCTGCTCCCCGTACGATGCAGCGATGCGTTGGCACTCTCCCCAAAAAGAGGGCTGACTGGTTGTGCATAGAGTTGCATGGTATATTAATTGAATGGAGACTTTGTGAGGCCGAAAGGCGGTCGACAAAGACACCCAAAAATAGACTTGCATTTACGAAGCACAAAGCCACCCACGTATCATGCATATTCTGCAAAGTGGCACGACTACATTGGCTTTGTTTGAGACCGCACTTCTGTTGTACTCTAGGTTAGATTTGCACCAACATTTCGCGGGAAACACACACATATATAAAGACACGGCGGCGACTTGACGATGCTATACCTTATGATCCCTTGGTTCGCCTTCCTTGGCCCGCTTGTATTATTTCCAACGAGAACACACTTAGTTCCGGCCTTGACGAGGCTTCCAACAACCGCACGAGAGGACCGATACAACTATCCGGTCATAGCGTACGTATCATGGTCCCAAGCTGATTCGCAAGTGATATGAAAAGCATGTGGAAACTGAATATATTATCGGTCGTTGCCGGCCAAATGGAGGTGTCTTTTTTTATCCTTGGACATCTTCGTGTCATCATGGAGGCGGGTTTGAATAATAGAGCAGGCACACAGTGGTAATAACAAAACAGGACAAGACATAAACCAAAAGGGAACCGCGAAAGAACGATACATGCACAAACAGGGTAAGATCGGGGGGATCGGGGGAAAAACCAAGGGAAAAAGACAAGCGCAGTATGAAGCCGGGATACAAACAACAAATATCGAAACAAGAAAGACGAAAGCGGCAGTTGGCATTCAAAACAAGCCATGGCAGCCTTTGTTCGGCCAAGAAAAGACTTGCGGGCGCCTGGGAAGCAGAAAAAAACAAAAGAAATAGTGCATACGGCAAGATGAAAAACAAGTGAACACAAGTGGCTTAAAATAGCATTGCATAAAACACAGCGGCAACAAAAAAATGACAGCCGACAGAGCAACGAGAAGAAAGGATGCGAAGTCAACAGATGGCCATCGACACTGGAGGTGACATGTTCCTTCGCAGCACTTTATCTTTGCAACTCGTTTGCGCGCTTCACCAACCAAGAAAGAACGGCTTCCAAATTTGTCTCCTCTTTGGCACTGATGCCATAGCAAGAGACCTCACGGTGGTCGATGCCCTTGAGGTCCAGCGCATCGATAAGCTCGTCGACGGAAACTTTTACCTCGAGATCGGATTTATTGCCGAGCACCAAAAGGGGGATCCCCTCGAGCGACTCTTGCTCCATAATGGAATGCAGCTCCTCCCGTGCAGCCTGGAGCTTCTCGACGTCGGCAATATCAACAACAAAGAGAATAGCGTTGACGCCACGGCAGTATCGCTCCCACATCGGCCGGAACCGAGGCTGGCCCCCTATGTCCCAGCACTTTATGGAAACGTTGTTTTTCTGAACCCGCTTCATGTTGAAGCCGATCGTGGGGATGGTACTGTGGAGATGACATCAATCAGGACTGGAACAAAACAAGACACAGCGCTTGCCGGCTGCGAGAAACGCTGGAGGCTGAAAGGACGACTGACGACTTACTCGTAGGTGAAGTCACCACCCTAGTTGACAAGGCTCGCGTTAGCAGACGTCTAGATTCGCTCCTTACGGGGCGAGACCCCTGGTGGGGCAGGAGGGGAGGAGGAGACAAAGAGGTTGGCAAGAGCTAGGAACAGGGTTCGGGGCGCGAGACGAGCGACGAGAAACGAGACGTCATACCGATAATACGTTTAGCAGGCACGTTTTGCCTGCATTTTGGAGACCAAGCATGGTGACGTCCATTTCCATAGCCCTGGATCAAAGAAGCAGAAGTCCGTGCGGTTAGTTGACAAAAATTCATTCCAGGCAGCGGTGGCGTGGTCAGAAGCAGAACGACTCCAGGTTCAGCGCATGAACCTGAGCTGCTGGCGGGTTGCACAGTTGCGCCGCTGCACGGCAGCGCAACTGACCAGCTCTCGAGCTGTACACAGATGGACGAGGAGGGGTAAGCGGGTACCTACCAAAACGTCCTTAACCACCACTCGTACACCTTCCTTATGATCGCCGCCATGACTGCCAGCGTCGCGGTGTGGGCGTTCTTTGCGACAGGCGCGTGTGTCTGGAGAAAGACTGCGAAGCAAGCGACGTAGCCCAGACGAGTCTTGGCCGAGGAGAGAGTCGGCAGGCACCGAGAGGTTAGGGGTATAAGATGTTGGCGCAAGTCGGTTAGCAGCGGCGAGGTACCAGGTGGCTGTCGGAGCAGGACGGGGGCGGGATGGAAAAGCAAAAGCCTATGAGAACGGAGGGAGTGGCTCGAAGTCTCGCCTTTGGAGCTGAGAGAGCTCCGAGGAAAAGATGGCGAAGGGAGGCAGAAGTGTTGCAGAACCGGCCAGGCTGAAGACACGACGAAGGGCCTGTTTAAGTATGAGAAAGCAGAAGGTAGCCCTAGCTGTCCGCAAAAGATAACCAAGGCAAGAGTGACCAGGGACGGGAATGGCGGCTCAGTTGACTGTTGACCTCGATTTGGGGAAGCGCCGGTTGGGGTCGTGGCCTAGGATGTGGGCGGCTGTTTGTAGTCGGAGGAGGGGAAGGGGGCCAGCCGCGCACGGCGCGAGGGAAGCGAGGCAGAGGAAGGAATGTCGAGAAAAGGCAGGCGCAAAGGTGGAGGCTGTGTGTATGAAAAGGTGAGCGAAAGAGGCAAGAACGGTCTCGGGACGAGGTCAAAGACGAGTGTGTGATCGGTGCGGCGTTGGCGGCTGCGCAGGTGGCGCGTGCGAGCGAGATAGGGATGGAAGGTGACGCCGGGGAGGTGGGTGACGAAGGTAATCGAGGAAGGAGCAAAGAGTGTATGGTCTCCACTTAGCGCATCTACGCCAGTGCGGGCGTTGGCGTTGCGGATGTGATATGCACTCCGTAATACCATATATTTAGGTAAAGAGGCTGAGAATGAGCGAGTACAGGAATTGGGTGTGCCTGGACTCTCTGGAGTGCTTGCAGACGACAGCTGGAGGAGCTACGGCACACTATTTGTTGTTAGTGATGCAGGCTGTAAGTTGACACGCCTAAGAAGCTAAGCATTGGTCGCTTCGAGTTTTGTTATTTTTTTTTTCTTTTCTTTTTTTGGTACCAAATGTTGTCACGTCTCATTTCAACATGTGAGCGTCTTGTACCCTTGAGTCTTGTCATAGCCGCTTCCAGCTCGGATGCCCATTTCACAGCGGCTACAGTCTGAGAATAGCAACGGATCACCGGGCAACTTACCGGGGCATACCGGGGCACCCTGAGATGTTGTCGCGGACGGCAAGGTCAGAAGCCCACGGAGAAAACAAGAAAATAAAACGAAAATAAAACGAAAAGAGAGACGAAATGATCAACGGCAACGCAAAGAAGATGGAGAAGCGAAACCGACCGGGGGCTAGCAGCTGTGCAGACACCCGCGGGGAAACAAGCACAACCAGATGACACTGGTGTCAGAATTCAAGATGGGTTGTGCAAGGTGTGCCGTGGGGCCCGAGCTCTGTTCTATTCCCAGTCTTTCTCAGACGAGCCCGGGGTCGAAAGCCCTGTCGTTCTCGTAGGCGTTTAGATATTGGGTTTTGTGAACGATATTGGCCAGGGTTGAGGCAATGTTATTTGCACACGCGAGATGGAAAACGAAACAACGCCACGACAATAAAGGCGAGAGGGGCAGAGGAAGGAATACGAAGAAAATCAAGACAATGACGGGACGCTAAAGACGAAGAAATTGTCAATATTCCGGCATCAAGGATCAGCTGGTAAGAAACGAAAAGGAAGGAACGAGAAACAAGGACAGCGAGAAGCTGGAAACTGCCCGACGCGGGATGGATGTCTGGACGCCGAGTCGATCGGTGGACCGGGGTCTGTGGGAAATAATGGAGTGATGAATGGGACAAGGCGACAGGGTGAAGAGGTACGGAATTGCACCCAACGGTGCCTGTCACTTCTACCGTGGGCGATGTGTGCATGCGTGCATGCGTGCATGCAGCGTGCAGCGTGCAACGGCAGTAGAAGTAGCAGCAGAAGCTGTCGCAGAGACCGCAGGAGACGAGGAGAGTGTGACGAGACGTGGGTGACGGAAAGGGAAAGGCGTAGAGCTCAAAATTGACAAGGAGGATAATACTCTCTGGCAGGCAGGTGCAGGTGAACAGACTGTTCGACCTTGTGAGGAGGGTTGCCCGTTGTTTTCGTTGGGGGTTTTCTATTTATGCAGAGTCTTGAAAGTAGATTATGAACAGGAAAGGGCCACGAACCAGCTTAAATATGTCGATTTACAGGAGGGAGCCGAGCACGCGATACACAACCAACAGCCTTTTACGTATCTTGGGTTATACACAACCAACAGCCTTTTACTTATCTTGTGTTATTTTTGGTTGTTATTTTCCGCATGTCTCCCTTGTTTTGCTAACTCCCAAACCCGCTCTGTCCTTCGCTTCTGCTTTTTACCCTCTTTACCCTCTTTCACCTCGCCTGACTGCAACACTGAAGCACACCGTGTGTCGGCCGCAGGAGAAGCGGCCTGGTCTCGAGGGCCGGGCCAAATCAGGCAGCAGGGCCCGACCCTTTAGCGCGTCGCGGAGTACATTTTAAAACTTTCGATCAAGAGAGAGTATTACACTATCGAGAGAGATTCCTCTATACGTGATGTTGCGATATGGGCTGTTGAAACATATGCTACAATGCAGTAAATAATTGGGCGGCCTGTGTGTCCAGTGGGCCTGGTCACCCGGCTGAGCAGCCAATGGGTCTTGGAGCAAGAGGACAAGCCGGAGCCAGCCCTGTAAGGACTTACTCGGGGTTTGCATGTGCCAGTGGTTAAAATATAACAGTACGAAAGACACGGGCTGCAGTGCTTTGTCCGGAAATAGAAGTAACTCGAAATAAACAACAACCGACCGCCGCGGCTCAACCGCCGTGGCGAAATCAACAAACTGGCACTGGTGTGTTGACACAATTTAACAAATTTTGGTATTCGCGCATCGGGTTGTGCAAAACGGCCAACAGGCAAAGCAACGGTGGACGGCGGATGCGGTGGTGAGACCGGTGAAAGGTAAAAATGTTGATAGGCGAGGCTGAATAGCTGCTGTTCTATTGGCGGATCATCTCCACGAAGCTGCAACCAACGAGAGGGCCTGGTCGTGTACTGTGTATGCAGAGGCCATGCATTGCAGCCTAATGAAATCCACCGGAAACCGGGGAATTCGCATTTGTCCAAATAAGCCGCACAGGATGGCACGCGTGGTCTGCGCGACAGGTTGGTTGAGAGAGATAGAGAGAGAGAGGGCGAGGGGGGGGGGAGGACACACCAAACGGCGCGAGTGGTCGCAGGGTGTGCAGCCGCAAGACTCAATGATAGCACTTCTTTGTATCGTGCAGTCTGCTTGAGAGACCTGTTCGGGCGACCAGTTTGAGCAGTATGCTGAGGCGGACCGCTTACGAGACCTGGGCCAATGCCTTCCATTGGTTGGCTGTGAAAGCACGAACCAGGGAGGCAACCATTCGAGACGGAGCGGCTTAACTAGATTATATTCTTAGTGCAGGGCCATTGACAAAATGAGAAATCAAAACAAAAAAAAAGGCACAAAACAGGAAAACAGGACGTAATGCGGATGAAACGAGACAAGAAACAAAAAAAGGAGAAGGAGAAGGGGGGGGGGTTGTTTGTGTGAGGAGGATGCTAATTTTTGCCGCTTGGAAAATGGGCGAGCATTCCGGGCTCGTTGAAACTCTGGAAGAGTAGACAAGTGGGTGAGAATATGGCCACGGGATGCAAATATCGTGAGCAAGGCGGGGATGATAGAAGTGAACATCAACATGAAAGATATCCGGGAGTACTGCGAAAGTAAATAGTGGGTGGAAATCAATAGTAAGAGCCTGGGCCAATAGCGGCAATGCATCGATTTACTAATAAGCGTAGACTTCCCCACACTTCGTGTTAGACATCACGTGAATTTGCCTTTATCGCACTCTGGCCATTGGCTCTTTCCTACCTATGACCCGCTAAAAAGTATGCTTCCGATAAGAAAAAAAAGTTGATCCAGGGAAGCAGCGGCAGGAAATGCTGCTGGTGAACTGCGCCTGGAAAAAGCTTCACGTTCTCAGCCTCCTCCGAAACAAAGCCCAAAGAGATGACCCCTAATTGACGGCCGATTGCCTTACATTTCTTCCACATTTCGCATATTCCACACACAGGCACCTCTTCTGCATACGGTATATGAACATATTGCATCCCACTGACCCCGTCACGACAAATCCAGGCACGCTCGCCTCGTCCGGCCCTCCCTCCTCCTCTCCGCCTTTCCCCGTCTTGTTTCTTGCTTGTTTGTCAATCATACACGCCAGTCACCATGGCGACCGCACGACGGAAACAGGCGTCTAAACAGACGGATACGAACTGGGACACCGAGTACAACACTCTCCGCCGGGAGAACCTCTTCCGCAACCCGCCGACCGACCACACTGCCTATCCCATGCTCCAGCTGGCCGTCGATCCTCACATCGAGTCTTTCAACGCCATCTTCCCCGACGGCGATGGGCACAGCGGCTTGCCCAAGAAGGGCCTCATTGCACACAGCATTGCCGACATCGGCACCAAGGTGTTCCTCGACGGCGACGACTCGATGCTCCCCGAAGAGCGCAACCGGATTTCCATCCGCTACAAGGATATTTCGCTGCAGCGCTGCTACGTGCCGCCGAGCAACAAGTTTGCCAAGGTCCGCGAGATTTTCCCGGCTGAGTGCAGAGAGCGCCATGTTTCGTACCGCGGCCGCCTCACAGCGACCCTCGAGTACCAAATCAACAACAGCGAGCCGCAGGAGATTGTGCGCGAATTCGGCCAGGTGCCTCTCATGGTCAAGTCGAACCGCTGCCACCTGGAGGGCATGTCCCCCGCGGCCCTGGTCGACCACAAGGAGGAGTCAGAGGAGCTTGGAGGCTACTTTATCGTCAACGGCCTCGAGAAGATTATCCGTCTGCTGCAGGTCACCCGCCGCAACTTTCCCCATGCCATCAACCGGCCCAGCTTTCAGAACCGTGGCGCTTCATACACACCATTTGGCATCATCATGCGCTCTGTGCGCCCCGACGAAACCTCCCAGACCAACGTCCTACACTACCTCAAGGACGGTAACATTACCTTCCGCTTCTCCTGGCGCAAGAACGAGTATCTCGTGCCCGTCATGATGATCCTCAAGGCCCTGGTGGAGACCAACGACCGTGCCATCTTCGAGGCCATTGTCGGCTCGGCTGGCTCCAAGGGCCTCGAAAACACCTTCTTGACCGACCGTGTCGAGCTGCTGCTGCGCACTTACGAGCACTACAACCTGTACACCAAGTCCGCCACGCGCGCCTATCTGGGCGAAAAGTTCCGCATTGTCCTGGGAGTGCCGAGCACCATGTCCAACTACGACGTCGGCACCGAGTTCCTGCGCAAGATTGTGCTCGTGCACCTCGGCAATGTCAACGTCACCGAGGCGCAGGACGCCGACAAGTTCCGCTCGCTGATCTTCATGGTCCGCAAGCTGTACGCCCTCGTGGCTGGCGACTGTGCCGTCGACAACCCCGATGCAGTCCAGAACCAGGAGATCCTGCTGGGTAGCTTCCTGTACAGCCAGATCCTCAAGGAGAAGCTCGATGAGTTCCTGTCCGTGAACCTCCGCGAGTCTCTGCGCTTTTACTGGCGACGGGCACCAGCAAACAACCTGCTCTCGGAGGGCTTCGCAAGGGACTTCCCTGCCAATATCTTCCGCCGTGCCAACGAAAATCTCGGCAACTCCCTCGAATACTTCTTGTCCACCGGAAACCTGCAGAGTCCGTCTGGTCTGGACCTGCAGCAAACCTCAGGTTTCACTGTCATCGCTGAAAAGCTCAACTTTTTGCGTTTCATCAGCCACTTCCGCATGGTTCATCGTGGTAGTTTCTTCGCTCAGCTCAAGACCACCACTGTGCGTAAGCTGCTGCCGGAGTCATGGGGTTTCCTGTGCCCCGTGCACACCCCCGATGGCTCACCCTGCGGGCTACTGAACCATCTGGCACACAAGTGCAAGATCATGACTAAAGCTGTCGACGCCTCGGCGGTGCCGCGGCTCGCCGCCGAGCTGGGCGTGGTCGAGACGTCGTCTGCCGCCACGGACGAGAGCGTTGTCGTCATGCTGGACGGCAAGGTCCTTGGCTGGTGCTCGCCCAAGGAGGCCAAGCGCCTGGCTGACACCATCCGCTACTGGAAGGTCCAGGGCAAGAACAACGTGCCAGTCGAGCTCGAGATCGGCTATGTCCCGCAGTCCAACTCTGGCTCGTATCCAGGGGTCTACATGTCCTCGACTCCGTCTCGCATGGTACGCCCCGTCAAGTACCTGCCCACCGACCAGGACGACTTTGTCGGCCCGCATGAACAGGTGTACATGTCGATTGCCGTCACCGAGCCCGAGATCATCTCTGGCAAGACTACACATGTCGAACTGCACCCGACCAACATGCTCTCCATCCTCGCCAACATGACGCCCTTCTCCGACTTCAACCAGTCCCCCAGAAACATGTACCAGTGCCAGATGGGTAAGCAAACGATGGGCACGCCTGGCACGGCCCTCCGCTACCGCACAGACAACAAGACCTACCGCATCCAAACGGGCCAGACACCCGTCGTGCGCGCACCGCTCCACAACGCATACGGATTCGACAACTTCCCGAACGGCGCGAACGCGGTCGTCGCTGTCATCTCGTACACGGGCTACGACATGGACGACGGTATGATTATCAACAAGTCGGCGCTCGACCGCGGCTTCGGCTACGGCTCCATTTACAAGACCAAAAAGATTACCCTCAAGGAGGATACCAGGACTCGCACCGCTAAGCACGTGACGAAGATGTTTGGTTTTGCCCCCGGCGCCTTTGTTAGCGGCCCGTCGCGTGCCATGCTCGACGACGACGGCCTGCCGTACGTCGGGCTCAAGGTCAAGGAGGGCGATGCGCTGTGTGCCTGGCACACAGTGTCGGCCGACTACAGCGGTGCGCTCGTCAACCGCGACGGCCAGACCCACTACGAGAAGTACAAAGACAGCGAAGAGGCCTACGTCGAGGAGGTACGTATTATTGGCAACGAGAACGGCAACGAGCCGAACCAGACCATCTCCATCAAGCTGCGCGTACCCCGCCTGCCCATCATCGGCGACAAGTTCTCGTCGCGTCACGGACAAAAGGGTGTCATGTCGCAAAAGTGGCCATCCACCGACATGCCCTTCTCCGAGTCCGGCATCCAGCCCGACGTCATCATCAATCCCCATGCTTTCCCGTCGCGCATGACCATTGGCATGTTTATCGAGTCGCTGGCCGGCAAGGCGGGCGCCCTGCATGGCCTGGCCCAGGACTCGACGCCGTTCCAGTTCGACGAGGAGAACACGGCAGGCGACTACTTTGGCCACCAGCTGATGAAGGCTGGCTTCAACTACCACGGCAACGAGCCGATGTACTCGGGCATTACGGGTGAGGAGCTCGCCGCCGACATTTACGTGGGTGTTGTCTACTATCAGCGTCTGCGCCACATGGTCAACGACAAGTACCAGGTGCGTACCACGGGTCCTGTCGTTGCGACCACCGGCCAACCTATCAAAGGTCGTAAGCGTGGTGGTGGTATCCGTGTCGGTGAGATGGAGCGCGATGCGCTGTTGGCGCACGGCACGGCCTTTTTGCTGCAGGACCGCCTGCTCAACTGCTCCGACTACTCGCGCACATGGATCTGCCGCACGTGCGGCTCGTTCTTGTCGGTGCAGCCGACCGTATCGCCGTTTGTCGGCAAGCGCAAGGCCATCAACACGGTGCGCTGTCGCCGCTGCGCGTCGCGTGTCGAGGATCTCGAGGAGCTGGTCGAGGTCGCCCGAAAGAGCGGCACCGATGGCAAGCCCACCAAGGAGACGCTGGCGCTGATGGACCGCCTGGCGCGCGAGGAGATCTGGGAGGACGGACACGGCGTGCAATGGGTGGGCGGCACCGATACCACGCAAGTCGTTGTGCCCGGCGCGCTGAAGTACCTGGACGTGGAGCTTGCAGCCATGGGCGTGAAGCTCAAGTACCGCGTCGATCCTAAGGATGCGCCGCGTCGCGGTCCTCTGCGGCCTGCCCAATGGGACGGCACGCAGCTGCAGGAGTTGACAGCGGCTGCCTCTGGTCAGTAAGCGGTGATACTAAGTAGCGAATGGAGGTGGGGGGATGAAGGTATCAAAACCATGATGCTTGGTGGCATATGTCAACAACAAACTGACGACGAATCGGGTGGCGTTTTCATATTCAATTTTTTTCTGTATCATTTTCTTGCCACATTTTTGTCATATGTACATAGAGCACAGTGTTGCATTATTCCCATGATAGTATATTATCTATTTGAGTTTCTTGCTCATAATGACTATAAATAGCCTCCTCGATGTCATTGTTGCTTTGCCAAACTCTCTTTCCCTTTGATCCGGGTGCAATATGTCGTATCGTAGGCCCCTCGGGGCCCGTCAAGCATTCCTTCTCTATTTCTTCATGCATTTCCCTCTTCTTCTCTTGAAGCCGTCTGCAACTTTTCCCGTCTCTGTTCTAGATCACCAACCAGTGTCTCTTTTTCTCGGCAAATTGGAGGAGGACAAACAGGCATGTCGTGCCCTGTGGTACAAGGGTATGGCTCAAAGTTCCAACAGATGCTTCTACAGCTCCTGGCCCAGGATTGGGATGCAACGGAGGACAGAACATGCAGGTAGCCGTACGTTTTGTCGCAGCCAGAGCCGTGACAGCCGAGCCGGTCTGCTTCATTCTCAAAAATGTGTCTTTGTATTAGCTTGCTTTTATGCCGACACCAATCTTAATGTACCGCTACTCCTTTGTCCGTAAATAACTGGTTGCGTGCAGGTATGAGATATTGGTATCACCCAAACAAGCCATCTTCAACTCTCACCAGATCCCGAGAGAACACCAGAAAGATCAGACGAACGTAAGGGTGATAGGACAACGGTCCTCCATTCAGAACTCCGGGCATGCCCGATAAGGGCTGAAGAGAAAGAAGAAAACTACAAAAACGCGTCGTCCTGAGATCGTGTCTTGGTGTTGCACAACAACGACACGAAAAGGAATCTTTAATGTATTCCGCAAAGGTAGCAAGTGATCCTGGGCAGATACTCCCGCCGGGAGCATCTTTCCACATTTTCGTACCTTCTGGCTCCTGGTCCCTTGCTAGAAATATTAATCAAACAAATGCCTTCCGTTTGTTTTCTTCTTGTTTTCGGTTTCCTCACCCTCCCCTCCACCGTCACCTTCGCTCTCTTCCGGACGAGACGTCCCTTTGGCACCTGTACCTCGTGTCTTGTATCGCCTGGCGTCCATGCGACAGTGACGATCCACCTTCAGAAACGCGTAATTTTGGGCGAGACTTGGGTCCCATCCAGAGACAGAGTTTCTTCTGTGTGCTGTTTGCCGCCCATATTTTCACCTGGCCTGTCTGGTACACCCCTCCTTTCTTCTCGTATCTTCTCCCCGGTTCCCGTCCGGTTTCTCGTCAAGCTCTGACCAGGGAAATGAAATCTTGTTTCCAAAAAACTTTTTGAATGAGGCTGTCTTATTCATTCCGGCTAGACCTGTCTCCATTTGTTGCTGGCTGCTTTTGGTTGGCAAGCAATAGGTCATCTCGATGTATATATAGCCTGCCTTCAGAATATCGGCCTGTCTCGACATCTGCCTCACTTAGTCGCTTCTAAGCTGCCGTGTCACTCATTCACCCATTTGCCAGTCCTCTCGCTCTGTCGCGCAATTTACCATACGCTCTTTTCGACTTGCGCTCATTTCCCTTCGTTCTTTCCTTTCTCGGTGAGCTACGTGGACTGCGTCCAAGTTCGCGGTCGCTCCTTCCTTTTGAATACTTTCCTTTATGCTCCTTCCTTAGAATACCGCCATAATAGGCATCCCACGCTCCCTCCCTATTTCGTATTTATTTTATGTTAGAGTAAACCAAGTGTCACTTCAACCATTTGTTGCTCAGAAATCTCTCCTCTTTGAACACCATCCGCATGTCAACAGCTTTTGATTTTGCCGTCGCTTTCTTTGTTGTATATACATTTCTCGTTCTTGACAGAGGCATGCGATACTTGTCCGCAGCCTGGCCACTCTCGGCCGCCAGGCTCCTCGCCATTTCCTACATTCTTTTCAGTTGTCTTCTACCACGAGTCGCCGCCAACGCATACGACTATGGTTTCGACGTGGCTGAGCATCTTTCCCGGCGTTCTTTTGGTTCGCCATACGATGCAGAGACGCCTTTTGTTGTCGGGGCCCTCGCTGGCGACCGCAATGGCACGCTACCCCCCCGGCAGGAAATACGGCAGATGGAGAAGAATACAGATATTTGGACGCTGTACATCCTTGGTCTCAACATGATGCAGTACGTGGACCAATCACACTTACTCTCGTACTATCAGATTGCTGGTCGGTATTCCATCTCGTCGTATCTTTTGCCTGGCGTCCAACTTGATATCTGTTGGAAAATTCGCTAAAATTCTGATGCACTGCAAAGGAATCCACGGTGTGCCATGGATCGAGTGGAACGGCGTTGCACCCAGTCCTGGCAGCGAGAATACCGGCTATTGCACGCACGTCTCGGAGCTCTTTCTAACTTGGCACCGTCCGTATCTTGCTCTCTACGAGGTGAGTAACTAGGAGCTGTTGGTCTCTCACAAAACGCATCTGACAGAAGTATCTCTCTAACCATTGGAATAGCAAATTCTCTTCTCGTTGATTGAATATATTGCCTCACTTTATTTAGACGACGACGAACGCGACCGTTATCAGACGGCCGCCATGAATTTTCGAATTCCGTATATGGACTGGGCGACCCAGCCGCCCGCAGGCGAAAGTGTGCTCCCATTAAGCGTCGGAGGCAGTCCATTTATCAACGCATCTGGACCGAATGGCATCCAGCGCATCGCTAATCCCCTGTATACGTACCTTTTCAAACCTTTGAACACCACGATGTTTATCGAGGCACCGGTACGTGCCTATTTATACATAGGCCTCATTCTACTTCTGCTATTTTGCTTTCTATGGACACTAGACTAATCCAACGGCTGTCAGTACGATTTGTGGCTGACGACCGTACGGGCGCCCACGGCTCAAGACTCCTCGGCTGGGTCTAACAACACTGCAGTCTCTCTAGCCCTTAACCAAAACTTTCCATCCATCCAGCAGCGGCTGTACAACTTGTTCTCGAACTACCAAAACTACAGCACATTCAGTAACGAGGCTTGGATTCCGACATCATCTAGTGGCAAGTATGATTCGCTCGAGTCTCTTCACGATACCATCCACACACTCACCGGCCTTCAGGGGCACATGGCGTGGATCCCCTTTTCCGCTTTCGATCCCATATTCTTCTTACACCATGCCATGGTCGACCGTGTTTTTGCCTTGTGGCAGATCTTAAACCCAGACTCTTGGATTGTCCCGACACCATCTACCCTCGCCAGCTATACTACAGCGCAAGGTGACATTCAAGACTCGCAAACACCTCTAACTCCATTCTACAAGGCACATAACGGCACTTTCTGGACGTCGGACGATGTCCGAGATATGGCCGTGTTTGGATATACCTATGAGGACATGGTGGAGATTCCACATGAAAGTTTGGTGACCAAAAACACTACGGCACAAGCGCAAGCAGCCGTATTAATCAATCGTTTGTATAGCTCATCCAGCCCTGCATCTCTTGGACCTATTGGCCAAAACAGCAACGCGAAGAGATCCATTCGGAGATCGAAGAAAGGTGTCGTTGCTCCGCACGGAACATGGGTTGATGGGCGATCAAAAGACCACCATACTGGTCACGATATCCACCTACGCCCCTGGACCATCACAGAGATCAAACGCCCTCCACCGTCGGTCGTCGTGGACAATGAATACCGTGAATGGGTGGCCAATATCCACGCCAAGAAACAGGCTCTCAACAGCACTTTCTTCATCGACCTGTTCCTGGGGGACGTGCCTCCTGACACAACGATGTGGTCCTATGCGTCCAACCTTGTCGGAACGATGAGCGTGTTCGCATCTCCAGCAGGTGCCATGGCTGGTATGGACATAAGTGCTGGCCACACGTCCGGCACCATCCCGCTCACCTCGGCTTTAGCACAAAAAGTTGGCAATGGGGAGTTGGCAAGTCTTGAACCCAAAGATGTTGAGCCGTATCTTTTCAAAAACCTGCACTACGGCATCGTCAAGACTGATGGTGTGGTCGTTGCGCCTGGAGATGTGTCCGGACTGAGAATTACGATTGTCAGTTCGTGTGTGCAGGTGCCGTCGAGTGCCGAGGAGCTCCCTCGCTGGGGCTCCGTCGAAGACCATTTTGATTTAATCTAAACCTAATGGGGGCTTTCCAATTTATTGTGGTGCGGACTTTTATTTGATTCACTTTGAAATTGGCAACATAAGTCATTTACTTGGCTTGGGCCATTGTTTAAAACGATATAGGGTTGCCCAAGTTTGCGTGTAAAGGGTGGTAAAACAGCTCGAGATATAATTAGACAATGCAAGAAAATAGGTCACGCATAAGTGTCTGAAAGCTTCACCAAGTGAAAGGCAGCAAAATCAAACGTGGTTGCATTATGCAGCGATATAATGAATGTAACAAGGCTTGGCGCCCAAAATTAGACTATAGGGCGCTGATGAGATTCTTGCGTAATGCGGGTGCAGCCGCTCCATATCTTTTTAAATGACCATCTAATGCAGAGAGAAAATAGAACGAATTAAGCAAATTCAAACGAATCAGAATACCAAAAAGAAGTATGCAGATAGTGATATAGGAAATGAACTAAAATCAACAATGTTAATAATACCAAAAACAAGCTACCAAATCGATTAGTTTGTGAGATGTGTCGTTCAAAATCTACCGATTCGTAAATTTGAGGTTTCAGCGAGCAGAAGTGACGCATACGATGACATGGTAAGCAAAACGAGGAGTTCGAGCGGAGCCGGATATCACATAAAGGGCAAGAAAGAGTTCCGCTTTTTGGTTTTCTTCGGCGCGAGCGAGGAATTTGCGTCCATGTTGCCGAGGATGGCATCAAACGTACTCTCGGCATTGTATGTGCTTTTGGTATTGGTATCCGCACCTCGGCCACCACCATTGGCATCGTCTCGTTGGTGAACTGCGTTGCCGCTGGCCTCTACCATGGCTCGCAGGTTGCCAGCCGACGCAATGCGGCGCGTAGAGGGTTGGTAGCTGTTGCGGTTCTGCTGGTTGAACGGAAGCGGATGGCCATCGTCGCCGAGGTTCACAGGCTCCAAGGCCCAGCCGATGCTGGCATGGCGCAGATGAGCCCGGTCTTGCAGCTGCTGATAGTTGTCGCGCGTCTGGGACCATGGTAAATTCACAGGTGGCTGGAGTTGCTGCATGGGCTGCAGCTGTGGCGAGTATTGGCCTTGCTTCTGTGGAAGCATCGAAGGTGACATGGACCGGGGCGAGGTGTCATGATCGGCATTTTCGTCGTAGTTGGTGGGTTGAAAACGGGGCGAAGATGTGGTGGACGCATTGGCACCTGAATCCGCAGCCGAAACTAGCGTGGCCATCGTGACAAGAGAAGGTGATGAAGAGGACATGCCAAGGGAGGAGCCATTGGGGACATCCGGCAGTGTCACAGGGTGAATAGGGAAGGGCACGCCCGCTGCGGCCGCGGCCTCCACATTTTCTGTACCCTGGGCGAGGACTAGATCGTCTGGTGTAACGCCTGCGTTCGAGATCGATCCTCTCGCAGCTTCCGTGCTCCAAACTTTGGCCGCTAACCAGCAGTGCGAGCGGTGGTACGTAGCCTCGACTGAGTACAGAAGCACATCTGCTGAGAGCTCCACAAGAGGGCCAGCTCCTCCGGCCGTCTGGAACCAAGCTTTCCGCACCTCCCCTGCGTCTTCGACCCAAGGAGCACGCCCCTGAGGTGGTTCACATAAAAAGTACTCAACTCCTTCTGTATGGCGCAGGCCAGGGGCATCAATGACGAGCATTGGCATGGACTGCAGGACGACATAAAGGAACAACCAATGGCCGATTCGCATCTCGGACAACTCGGCTTCCGACTTGCCTCGCTTAGCCTCCCGGAGTTCAAAGGCCTCAAAAGCAGCTAGGAATGGAGACTCATTAGGACGTTCGGCATCGACATTGTGCGATTTGAGGAGTACCAGCTGGAGCTCGTAAGGTTGAACGTTCTTGTCAAACCGTGCTTGGTCTTTCGGAGCCATATCAGGGTAGGTCTCGTGAATCGTTGCCATGGTCGGCAGCTTCGGAGTATCGAAAGGCACTGGTGGTAGAACGGGTGGCGAGGACTGATCAAACTCGTTGAGGATCTGGCGAAGAGCCATAATTGGTGCATCTGCCGGGGGCCCGTTCGTCGGCAGTTGAACGGCAGAAGGAGCGGCTGATGCACCGTTTCCATCTTCACCTACCCGAGTGGTGATTGAATTGCGGTTCACGAGCAAGTCGTACACAGAGCAAAGATCGGCATAAAGCGTTTTGAGGACTAGGCGATTCAGACCGCTCTCCGAGAAGGGGTTGCGACGGCTGCTTGCTTTCGGAGGCCAACTACCAAACTGCGTCTTGTAATATCTGAGAACAAATGCTCGCATCTCGACAAAGGCAGTGCGCCAGTTCTTGAAGCGGATGTTGCGGTAGTCGGGGTTGGACGTGGAGTTTGCCACACCAGCAAACAAACTGGGGAAATCAAACTGCTCTAGCCGCGTGTTGACACTGTGCTGCCGAGTGAGTAGGTCAAGGTGAGCACGCTCGAGACGCTGCAGGGTGTAGGGAGAGACTCTATCCCAGAGGGGCGACGACTTGAGGTCGCAAAGCGCTGGGTACTTGCCCACGGCGTGACAGAACGCTTCGTTATACAGCGGCCAAAAGCGTAGCTGCTCGCCAATAACAAGAGCCTCCAAAGTCTTCTCGCGACCGTGCCGCAAGTCTGCAAGGGCAGCCTGGTCAATGTAAAAGCCTGTGCTCAAGTCGACCGCGTCACCAAACGAGTTGCTGTTGCCAGAAGCAAATCCAAATTCAAACTCGCGAAGCAGTTCAGCCACCTGCGTCAGCGCTGCAAACACAGTTGGAAAGTTGCGCGTGGCGACCAAAGGTTGGCCGGTCAAAAGAGCGAACAGATTGCGAAGAGCAATCAGTCGCTCTACGTCAGGCGCACCGTTTAGACCGTTGTAGCTGCTGGAGGGCAAATGCAGGCGGGACTCGTTCCCGGTGGACAGGAGTGGCGACATCGGTGGTGAGGCGATGCGGTGGGCGTCGGCTGCCGTAAGAGAATCGCGACCACCAAAACTGCGGGCACGAGATCGAGCGCTGGCTGGTGAAGAGGCTTGGCTTTGGACGATGCTACTGAGGACGCGCGATTCCTCGATGACGGACATGCGCACTTTGAAAGAAGCACCCTGGCCTTCGCTCTGAGGCGAAAGGTAAACATAAAGGTTGCCATTGTCGTCCCAAAGCTCAGGAACCTGGAAAATCACTTTAGCTTTAATTAAAGAGCAAAATAGCCACCTTGTCTGAGGAACATGGGGGACAGACGACGGGTTGGCCGTACCTTCTGGCAGTTCATCAAGTAATCAATGTTGTAGTCGATGTGGGATTCTGTACATAAAACCCATGCAGCTGAAGCCGACCTCATAGATGGCTCGTGAGATTTTGACCGCAACCGACCGTTGCCGCCGCTAACTCCAGGAAGCCAGCTCATCCGCCGTTGGGCCAGGGTTGCTGCGAAGTTCGGGCTCTGTGCATCGTTGCCATCACTGGAGTGTGTCGAATGTGAGCGCGAACTTGGATCTGTGCTAATCGATGCAACATAGCCAAGCTGTGCATGAGCCCGAGAGTGTAGCTGGCTGGGGCCAGTGGTAATTGGTGGTGGTTGGGCCGACACACTGCGACCGCGCTGCCCATCGGTGATGGGTGGTGGTGACAAGCCACGGCCCGGCGACTTGCGCAAGCGCAGCGGGGCCGACACTACATTTTGCCGCACCGGCTCTTGCTGCGGCTGTTGCAGCAGCTGGGGTTCGGGAGCCGCATCTCGTGGTCGGCCTCTTGTCTTCTTGAGTGTCGCTGATGACGAGTGTGTCTCAATGAGTCTTGGAAGTATTGATAGCATGTTTGGATCTTCTGCTTCTTCTGTTTCCCTAACCGTTTCGGCGATAGGGGAGACGACAGTAGGTACGGTAGGATGCAAGATAGGCCCCGCGGTTGCTTGGTGTTGTGTTGGAAAAATATCGGCTTCAATGCTGGACGTTCGCACAGGCCACAACGGAGGGGGTTGCGTTGGCGCGTCAGGCACAGAATCTTGGTGTGAGGATGGAGTTGTCCGCAGGTCGTTGAAGGTAGGTGGCGGTGTAATGAGATTGTCACGAACAATCGACGTTGCCGGTCCACCGTCGAGCAGCTTGCCACGTAAGGCGAGTGGAAGTAGACTCTCCGGAGAAGATGTTGTCGTTGATGCAGCATCCATAAGATTTGTAGAATCGGTGGCCGAAGTCAGGGAAGGAGGAGCTGGAGGACCTTCAGTAGGCCCGGGAACTTTGAGCTTGTCAGTAAACAGCGGTTAGAGTGAGACGTATGGGAGCTCCCATATGGGCAGTTCCAGGAGGACAAGGCTGGACTCCAAAGTAGACATTGTGTTGGGGAGGCGGCCGGATATTGGAACTGGCCAAAAAAAAAAAAGGAAACGCCCAGCTGCACACAGAAAAGCCACCGGGGCTTTACAAAGTAGAGAAATAAAACACAAAAAAGCCCTAGGATGCCGACCCAGAGATGTGTCCATGCCATCAAAGAGCGAGACAAGTGGTGAGGGGACTCCGTACAGACTCAGGAATGAGAGGACTAGAACACGGGGAAACAAAGTCTGCAAAGACGAGGACAAGGAGAGAAGTACGCGGCATCTGAAAGCGTCCGAGACATGTGTTGCATTGCAGCTACAGAAAAGTTGCGTGGTCGCCGTACTCACATGAGCTAGATGCCATGGCTTGTTAGAGAAAGTGCCGTGAGGCGTTTGTACAATGCCACGGATGTCCAGGTACAGGGTGGAAGGTTCGGGGGTGGCGGCAGGAGGAGATGAAGCATCGACAATGGAGGCCGACGAACGAGGGACCTTCTGGCAAGACACGGTGAAGGCGTCGCAAGAGTTAACAGCCACACTGTACGCCCAAGATATGTAGAAAACCAAGCTGGCCGTGATCGGGCGTAAAGCAGACCCTCGGCCTCGTAAGCTTGGCGGGGCGGTTCGTAGAGGTATTGTTTTGTCCGGTCGGTGCTGGTCGTCTGTAGGGGTTTCGGGGCATCTGCTGCCTGGGTGCAAGCTGACAGGCTTGATTTTGCGTTTTGTTGTTTCGAAGCTGCCTGGATGTTGATAGAACAGGCAGAAAAGGGGAAGTGGAGAGAAGTTGAAGTTGTTGGGAGGTTTTAAAGAGAGGCTGAAAGAAGGAGTGCAAGGGACCAGTGGCCTGGGAGCCTGCTTTGTGTTATTTTTGGCGGGAGCTGCAGAAGACGAACAGGGCAAGAGCGGGCCAAGGATGGAGCAGGAGCGAAGGCAAGGGGGAGCAGTGATCGGGCCCGTTACGGAAGGAGCGGCCAGTCTGTACAGCAACTTTGGTGGCGGGAGAGAGGTGTGCACGGTTGCCGAGAGCGAAATAGAGGCAAGACTGGATTGCAAGATATGTACGAAAGAGAACGACAGCAAGGATGGGCAGGTGGGTGGACAACATTGTAGATGAGGAATGAGCGCGGGAAGCTGTATTGACCAAGGAAACAATTTGGAAGCCCTTCTCCGGAAGCCTTCTCTACCAGTCAGAATGAGTACGTGCCGATCCAAAATCTTGACAAGAAAATATCTCTTGCCGAAGGCGACATCGCAACCAGATTTCGAGTGTTTTCGTCAGAGGCTGGCGGCTGGCTCTGGCATTTCGTTCCTGGTATTCCGCCCCGGCTGGACTAGCCTGGATGTGGAGGACTAACACGTACTCTGCCTCGTCATAAAAAGCTTGGTCCTGGCCGACGAGTTTTGCGGAGACGTGGGCCAAGACGCAAAACCAGACAAATTAGGCTTCGATTGTGTACTCCGTACACGTCGCGTTTTTGTCCTCTTAACCCCGTCGACGGCAGCAGCGACGTCCAACTCGTACCAGAGCCTGTGGACGAACGAGAGCGACACACCGGGTCCCCCGTATTTGTCTCTTTTTTCGGCGCCGATAATTCTACTTTATTCTAAAATGGGACTCGAAAATGCTGCCCACTCATCGCCAGCATGCAGTAGTGCCTTTGGTTGCTCGCGCGTCGAACGCGAGAGACCCTGGGACCTGGGCGGCTCTTCTGGGCGTCAATGAACTTGAAGTCAAGAACAAGAGACCCACTATTAAGTCCTGTTTTGTTCGGGGGCTGGATGTGAAATGGAAAGGGGCGTAATGGGTCCGTTACTGCTGCAGGGGTTGTGTTTGGTTTCGTTTTCCCTTCTTCGTCCTCTTTTCTCTCCTCTTTGTCAAGCTCTCCCGCTACTTTCTTCACTGTCTCGTTGTTTCTCGCTCGTCTCGGCAACTTATGTAAATAACGTCTCGAATGTGGTTGCTCTTGCGTTATGTCCCCAGTTGCATGCGAGGGTCTAGTCTTGCCTGCAGATGCCGTAGTCCGTTTTGGGGTTGGCGAAACGGACCAGTGGTGGGTGCCATGAGGCAGGGCAGACACGCAGTTGAAACGGCGGTAGTCAGCATGCCGATTCCAATGGAGGAGAGGGCAAGGAGAAGCCCGCACTTGCGGTTTGTCACGTCGTTGGCAGTTCCCGTCCGACGGCCAGCGTCAGCACAGCCCTATTCCAGGTCCACTTGAGACTGTCCACACCGGCCGTCAGCTCACAGGCTGGCATCCTTCCCATTCTTGAGGCTGTTGTGTGCTATGATTCGCGTTTCGCGATTGCCTGGCCAGCATGGCCCCGGCACCGCGAGTTGCTGCGCTGGGCGTGGCTGTGCTATTTTGACTTGTGAGGAAGTGCAGCATTGATGAGCGGAATTGTCAGGCGCGGCAAAAGGTGGTTGATTCGGTGAGGAGAGATGCTCTTGCAGTGGTGCGTGCCGTGGTAGTTGAGCGATAAATACGATAAATACGTCATATCCAATGATGGGTTGCAATCGTGTTTTTCTCTTTTCTTGCTCGCATGCAAACTGACACGGAAACAGTTTATGTGCTTTCCCCCAAGCTCTACCCAACGTCCGTGCACCTCATTCGCTCTTTCCGGTAAGCCCAACTTAATGCAACCCCGCACATTCTGCACCAAATTCACACGGGACGACGACTTCCAGCGCAGTTAATTATTACGGTGGTCTTATGTCACCATTTGTGAGGCGTGCGGTGTTCCCGGCCAATTGTATGTTCCTTTCAGAAAACGGATCGTGTTGTTTCTTGCTGGAACCGAAATGAGCAGGCCTACATCACTGATCAAGCAGAGCAGGTTGTGAATCCTCGAACAGCAATCCCCAAGCAGTATGCCATACGTTCGTCCGAAAAGCGACGTATAGCGTATCTCAATTAAGGTACTCCGTACAATTATGTGATTCACTTGCAATGTACGACATACCCCGTAGTCTACGGTGAATTTACGATATCGTGTATTAATACGACGTGGGAGTCCGGAGTAGTACGCGTAAGTATGTCGTACTCCGTGGTGGACGGAACATTAAGTTTGAGGAAAGAGCCTCGAGCAAGCGAAACTGACAGAACACGACGGAAGGAATCTCAGTTTCAACCAAACCAGAGTAAAGCAAAGCTCCAAAGCTCTCAGCAAAACGACAAGCGAGGCAGACGACACACCTTTGCACTCCGGAGAGCCTCATAAACCCGGATTTACCGTTGCATTTTGTTCGTATCCTGACCTCATCCGATTTGCCGCTGACGAAATATGTAAGATACAGCCTCGGTGCAGGGCAGCTAACTCAATACATCGCAGTTTGCATCAATTTTAATAATCGAAATTGTTGTGCTGAAAAGGATCGAAGTCATTGACAGGATTGATCGTCTCGATGACAAGGGCACGACTCCCAATGACAACTGGCGCCTTTGTGTCTGCCGGTCTGCACCTTTGCATCATGCCTGCATGTCTGCGCGTCACGCCCGTCTCACTTGTGCGCTGTCACCATTGGCTCCCGAATCCTTTCTCCGACATATATGACAACCATGACACGCCCCCAGGCCGCTCCTTCACAGGGCTCGGTGGCGGTTCTTGTCAGGTTCGATTACAATAAGGCCAAAAGTAATAGTTAATACATTTTTGCACTTACGGAACAACGCGCCGAGCTAAGTATTGCGTGAAATACCTTCTTCCTGCGCCTGCAGCTAGCAAACGTCTCGTTGGAAACAGCTTTTCCAAAGGGGGTATCGTGGACACAGCCTCTGTGCTGAGCTCGGCGCCTCACAGTCGCACAGCCAGTCTTTGCACCGGCAGGCACAGGGAAAAAGAAAGAGGGAAGGCTTACATGGAGTCACAATGGAGCCAAAAGTATTACAAACATATAAACTAAAGAGGAAAGGAGCGCGAGTGATAGACAATGGATTTTTTTACGAAGCGACGCGCGCGTGTGGGTGGGGGGATGAAAGAGGGCTGTATTGAGGCTCAAGAACGCCAAGACGACGCAAGGAACATGCCAGCAATCGAACGACATGCAGCCACGAGAGAAAACAAATACTACAAAAAATAATGAAGTGAAAGGCGGTGATGCTACTCGGAAAACTCCTGGGCTTGCACCTTGAGCTTGACCGTCTCCTTGTGCGACTTGCCTACGGAACTGAAGCAGTCGGGCACCGCTTCGGCCACGTCGAGGCCAACAGCACGGCTCGCGGCCACCGCTACGTCGAGGTGGACGGCAGTCTTGCCTGACTTGGTTGTCGACAGCATGGGCTCGAATCTGCACGGTATACGTTAGCTAATTTACTCTGTTCGCATGTAGATGTGTCCATCCACTCACCGTATGGATGCCAGCTCGGCTGCGTTGGGCGGCCCGGCTGGGAACACGAGGGCAAGCACAGCGGCTACGCCGCCCATATACTCAGCCCAAAACATGAGATCGCCGTCATTTTCCGTGCCGCTTCTGCTGCTACTGCTGCAGCTTCTGCTGCTGCCGCCGCCACTAGGCCTGTCCAGCAGCTGCCGCAACCCGTCGAGTAACGGGGTATCCGTAGGTGCAACACCGCCGCCCCAACGCGCCCACAGGCTGACAGCCAGGATTGCGCGTGCTTGGTGCGTCAGGCCCGGCATTCCCGGATTGCGTACCACAGCATCATGTAGCACAAAGGCTGCATTTGCAGATGAGTCGGCACCCGTACGCTCCCAGATATGCGTCGCGAAAAGTGGAAGTAGAGGCCGAAGCGGTGCCCAAGACGGCTGTGCTGGTGATGGCGATGAAGATGATGAGGATGAGGGAAGTGGTGGCAAGGCTGACAGAAGTGATTCTGCGGTGGACTGGATGGCGGCAACGACATCGTCACCGGTGCGACCACGGCTGTACGAGGACGACGTCGCGGCCGTCTCGATATGAACGCTGAGCGGATCAGCCTCGCGCAGCGTGGCAGGCAGCCGCATCATGAGCGCGCCCTCGCGGTTGCCACCGGCGCAAAAGGTGACGCTGCGGATTGTGTGGCTTGACCGTTGCAGAGCGACAATAAGCGCATCCACCACGGCCGTGATCGCGGCAAACTGCTGGCGTCGCCGTTTGGACATGCCAAAGATCTTGCCCCCCGCCAGCTCGTGATTAACACGACGCATGCGGTGCGTATCCCGGAAGAAGGAACCGGGCACAGTGTATCCGCCCATGAGCGGAACGGGGTACGGCTGTACGGCGTCGTTCTGCATCAGCATACTGCCGTAGCCACGGAATCCGCCGCCACAGAGGTAGACATCGATACCCCCCTCGCTGGTCTTGTTGGCCTGCTGGCGCTTCTGGAGCTCCAACAGGCTGGGGAACTGCTCGTGCAGCCGGGCAAGTGCGGCTGTCATATCGTCGGCCAGTTTTGGCGCCGCTTCGGCCGTAGCCCGAGAGTCAGCCTCTGCCTTGGCCTCTGCAGCGAGCCGGATCCTCTCCGCATCGAGGTGGTGCAGCTTCTTGTCGAATTGTAGCTCGCTTCCGACGTCGTGAATGGGCGGCGTGGCCGATGACACGAGACGCGTCAGGCGTGCCGCACCGTAGGGCATGCTCTGGCCAGCACGGGCAGCCGCAACTTCGTAGCCGGGGCCAAGCCGCGGGTCCACATACGTCATCTGGACGCTGCCACCGCCCAGGTCCAGCATCAACCCGCCCGCGCCAGTGTCGCTGTTGCCGACGACCGCAAAGCCCGACCGCGCACCCGTTGAGCCAAACAACGTCTCGACCTCAGGCGCCAGAACGTGCACCGACAGACCCGGCGCCGCAGACGCAATGGCCTCGAGCAGGGCGCCCGCATTGGCAGCCCGGCGCATGGCCTCGGTGGCGAAGACGGCCATGCGGCCTGGCGCGACGCCATAGTCGAGGGCGATGCGGCGGAAACGGGCCAACGTGCGGGCGACCTGCCGAATCGTCTCGGCGGGGAGCTTCATGGCAGACGGGTTGCCTGCTGGCCCCTCGCCGCTTATGCTGTCGTCGACGGCCGTGAGCGCATCAAACAGCGAAATGCCAGCGCGCTCGCGGTAGACGCATGGCAGCAGCCGGGTACGGGGTGGCGACAGGTCGGAAATGGAAAAGCGGATACCGTTGCTGCCCATGTCCACGAGGGCGTGGAGGTGGTTGTCGTCGTCTGGCTGCCATTTTGGCAGCTTGTCGGCAAAGTTGTCGAGGGTGATGATGTCAGCGGCCGCGGCCGCGCTGGAGGTCATGGCGACAACCCCGCTGGTGTTGATCTTGTTGAGGGCAGCGCGGGGGACGAGGAGGAGAGCGATGCAGAGCAGCAGGGCGGAGGGCAATCCCAAAGTGACGAGGCGGAGTTGCCTGTTTTCTGGTCCCATGGATTTTGGTGGAAAAAATAATTGGGTGCAGTGAGGGAAGGTACGAGCGGGACGGACGAATGTGGAAATAGTTCTAGTCAAGCGCATCGATAAGTTCACAATCGGACAAGCTCAGGTCTAGTCAGTAATCTGAATCGGCCTCTTGGCGATTCGAACCAACCGCGCAAAATGGACTATGTATGGCATTGAGCGCAGATCAAGCTTATTAAATGCGTTCTTTATTTCCACTTGCCTTTGGACGTCACAAAAAAAGAGCAACGTTCGAGGGATAATATAGTTTGCAGCCTTTGTGCAGCTGCGAAATAGTAGAAAGACAAAAGGACGGCCGAAGCCGGCCGAGGTCGAAAATACCAAAAAAAGGAAAACCCAATTAAACCGACTGCTTTTTCTACTCGAGCAGACGGGCCCTGAACTCCCAAAACTTGGTAAAAGGAAAGAAAGGGAAACCAAAACCCCCCCCAAAAAAATAATAAATCAAAATAAATCGAAGACATTTTCGAAACATTACATCCATCCCAGCCTATCCGGCATGATATCCAAGGCAAAATATAAATGACACGGGTTGCATGGCACAAATCTCGTCTAGGGCCAGATGGCGCGCCGCAGGTCGTCGCCGATAAAGTTCTTGCCGTAAATCGTCGAGTATTGGTTGTGCCAGCGCAGGGTACCGTTGAGGTGTGACGAGTTGGAGCTGCCAGCCTGGCCAAAGGCAAACTCGCGGCGCAGGCCGACGCTCCACGTAAAGCTGGACTGTGCGTTGCCCATAAAGAGGCCGGCGCGCAGAGCAACTTCGTAGTCGACGAGGAAGCGCTCGTCGTAGCTGAGACTAGCGAGCAAGGCGGCGTCGGCACCCTCGACCAGGTCCTCCTTGGTGATGACGGCGATGTTAAAATCGCGGCAGCGCTCGGTGAAGGACGTGATGTTTTCTTTGGTGGCGCCTTCCGTCAGGTAAATCTGCGACAGGTTGTTCGCGACGACGAAGCTGAGGGCGTCCGAGGCCTGCTCGGTGTAGTCGGGGAAGCGGAGCGGGTCGGGTAGGGTGCGCAGCTCGACGCCGACAAAGGCGTCAATGTCGATGCCCTTGCGCGGGTCGATCTGCAAATCAAAGGCCTTTTGCAGGTTGAAGAGCACAGTGGCCGCGAGCGCGCGCATGTCCTTGCGCACGCGCAGCATGCGGCCAAAGTAGCGGCGCAGCGGCGGTTGGTCGGCAAAGGCGGGCATCATGTACGAAGGCGTGGGCCGCAGGTCGACGCGGAAGGGGTATCTGCGGGTCTTGGGCGGGCTTTTTTTGTTGAGCATGGCGTGGATCTGCTGGCCGAGCTTATCGCCGTCGGACACGAGCTTACCGGCGCTCTTGCCAAGGTTGGCCGCAATCTTGACACCGGGCACCTTGTAGATGTCGAGCTTGGCGGGTTCCAAGAGACTGGGCTCGTCAAAGAAGTCGTTGAGTGAGTTGTGAATCTTGAGCTCCGGGCAGAACTCGCCCAGGGTGTCCATGAGGTACTCGGTGTCGAAGAAGTGGCTAGGCGGCAGGCCGCGTCGTGGGCCTTTGTCATGGGGTGCGATGATGGAGAGGTCCATGGTAGACCGCAGCATGATGTCGGGCAGGATTACCTCGGCTGGGCAACAATTAGAGGTGCTCAGTTTTTTTTCTTTTCTTCTCCATCCTCCCCAGGCGCACTTACCTCCAATCTCAATGGCGACACGGATGCACGTCAAGATGCCATTCTTGACGTCGGCCATACCACCGGGCACGGCGTCGCATGTCAGGATCAGACCCGGCGTCCACGTCTTTGCCGAGCACAGGTCGGACAGGCCGTCGCCGACATAGGCGCCACTGATGTCGTGATTGAGGAAATCGCTGATGAAGACTTTGCGCTGGTCGCGGAACTGGCGGAAGAGGTCCGCATACTGGTTGTGCTGGTCGCCCGTGCCGCCGAACTGCACAATGATCCAGGTCACAACCAAGGCCCCGGCAAAGAACCGGAGGTAGTGGACGAGCCGGAATTGATCCAGCATGGCGGTCGACGGAATGAGAAAGACCGGGAAAACAGAAATAGATGGGGAACGAGCGTCGGTAGGTCGGGGACCGGGCTATGTGTCAGTCACGGGCCGGGGGGCCCAAGGTCAAGCTTTTGAGCGTGATAGGGGTGGCGGGTTTACGTGGAGCGCTGGGAACAGGCGGTAAAGCGCAGACTCGCATAAAGTGGCGATCGGGGCCAAAAGTTGTGTAAAAGGAAGGACAAGAAGAGGCGACAAAAAAAAGGAGGGAGACCGTGTTGCTACATGGATGCAAACAAAACACGCGGAGGACGAGCGATTTGAAGAGAAGAAAAAAAGGGAAAAGTGAATGGCAAAGACGGAAAATGAGGCTGCCGTGAGGACGACCAAAAGGGACGGATGTCGAGGACACAAAATGGTGGAGATGGAGATGCAGCCAGGGAGCAAGTCCTGCCAAGATTAAGCCAAGGGCGCCACGGCAGCAGGGAGGAAGGGACACACCGACAGGGCAGTAGCGATGCGCAAAAGGGGCCAAATGCGCAGCATTTCAAGAACCACTGAAGCTACAGCGCTAGCTTGGACCAGTGACCACCTTTCCGCCTTCTCTTCACATGCATCCCATCACGAACGCAACCCACAAGATCAAGCGACAGGTCTGGAATGGTCCAAGAGAACAGTGTGGGTAGCTACTCTCCAAGAGATGTTACAAATACATACTTGTCTACAAGATAGGTACACTATGCCGGTACGATATGGAAATCCTGGCCATATGCAGGCGAGTCAGTATTACGACAATCTGGCCGTGCGCTCTGTGAGGCTGAAAAGGGGAAGTCTGACTGCTCAGCGCTGCTACGTATTCGTATGGCATTCACGATCCAGGGATGCCGCTAGAAACAAACAGCAGGCGCCCCAGGTGCCGGGCCGCCCAGCGAGGGAGCCAGTACGCGATTGCTATTGGTAGATAATATTCTATTTCTAAACCTTGCGAGGGATGGATAATTCTATCGACTCGACGACATATAGTCTATGCTATAATTACGGCGCATGGAGTGCGGTGTGTCGAATTCTCTGCCGGCCCATCTCCCATGCTATGTTTTGGACCTCCACGTCTCTCTTTTACTCGCCGCGCTTTGCTCTGCTGGTTTCAACCACGCAAAACAGTTCCTTGTTTTTCCCTACCTTTTCTTGTTGATCAATCGCCCTTTGTGACCTTGGTTTGCTACTCGAGGGAAACATCAACGCCTTTGAGCCGTACGGGAATTCCCGCTGGTGATTGAACGGAGCTGACTTTACCTCTCTGGCCGTTCATAGTTTAAAGTTGACAAATTGCAATCCGTCCTCCGCAGTGCTGACAATAAGCATATCTGCACGTCGTATTGGCGGCGCACATCCGTGAAATTAACGTCGACATTTTATTGCCAAGCTGGCCACGGTCTAGCCTCCTCGAGCGAGAGTCAAATTTACTACGATTAAGTAACGGATCGTAGGACGCATTGATGTGAAAATTGTTTCTCCCTTGATTTTCGGCTCCCTTTGCCTGGCCATTCGTCACTTCAGCTCATTCGTATTGCCCACCCTCGAGAAGCCCACCTTTGAACACATAGGTAAGATACATCGTAGTATTGGTTCGTTTAACTCAGCTTGACAAGCAAACCTGGCGCCCATCAGGGCAACCCTGCAGTCTGAATTTTGCGTTGTGTCGGATTAAACAGCTTACATCGTATCTGTTTGTGCAATGGCCAATGACTCGGAGACTCGATGTTTCCATTTCTCGTCTTCTCTGTTATGTTTCAACTCTCTGCACCGCCATCCAGAGTAATGAACGCATCTAACGCGTTCAGCGCAAACGAGAAAACGGGATCCCAAGGGCCAAGGACCAAGACGACCAAAGGTACGCCGCCTCTGGCCAATCACAGAGAATCCAGCTCTCCTGTTTGTGATTGTGCATTCCATAGGGTCTTTCAAACCCATTTTGTTTTCCAGCTCGTATCCTCGCTTTCTGTCCATGTTTTGAGCCCTTCACTCGGCCTCATTCCAGATTCCAGCCCGCTCGTTTCATTGTTTCGTTTCGCTCCCCAGGGGCAGTCCTTATGCAAAGTCCTGTTTGCTCATCGTCAAACTGTGGATAGCCCATCTGATGAGAGCCCGCGGTTCTCTATTCTGGGCCCTTTGCTTTGTGTTTGTTTCTCGACTGCTGGGCCTGGCCAGAACGTTGGGTCCATTCTTGCCATCCTGACACGTTCTGGCGGAGTCTGACCTAAGCCGAGCCACCTACCTGGCAGTTTCTATCAAGCCCAAGTATGTGCTCCATACGACATGTACGTCGCCATCTCTCCGTTCTCATCAATGGCGTAACGAATTCGTAGATACCCGTGTGCTCTCTCATGTCCGTTGGCGGGCGACTGCGTTTTGGCGGCGGTTGTTGGGCTGACAATACAGCACCTCTTTGTTGCCGCAATACTCGTCAAGGTCCGGAATGCTCTACAGGCATGCTCTTCAAGTGTGCTTTGTCGCACCGGACTCGGACGTGCCGACATTGAGACGTTGGGCGGTCTCACTATGCCGTGTTAACGCATTGCCATGTGGTGCTGATGAAGTACGGAGTACGGCCAAATCATGTTCGTACAGTCATGTGTCGCTTTGTTGTTTTTGCCTCCATTGCAACTCAAAATGTTTTCCCCATTGGTACGATTTAGTGAGCATTGTTTTGGTGTCACTGACATGGGAAACCTCTTTACGCGAAACAGTGGATAGGTGACAGTAGTGCCTGAAGCAACCGCCTGTAAGCTGCACGCCACCCAAAAAAACACTCGCGGCATTACCCACTTTTATCTATGTATGGGGCTCTTGCTCAACTTTGACTGGCTACGGTAGATGGGCCCGACGCGCGTGTGACAAAAGACGCGCGCGAGCATCGCGCGAAAAAAACGCGCTCGTGGGGTTGCTCTTTCCTGACGCTTTGCATTCTCCGATGTTCCTCGCGCACCTTCCTGCCAGTCCCTCGCCTCCGACTATTGTCACACTAACCAGACTTTTATCCCAACCGTGTGCATCGGGTAAGGAAAGGACGGATCACATTGTTGGGCGACCATCTTACTTGTAGAAGGCAGGCGCAAAAGGTCCTGCTTTGAGTTTCGTCTATTTGACGTCAGGACGAAGAAGGAGCAAACGTATAGGCATCCCCGCCCATTTGGACGTTTTGCTCGCCCACCGCCTCTGCTCTTTTTTCGTCGCTGTTTCTTCACGTTTTCTCGTTTGTCCATCTTCGACATATTCTCTTCTTTCATCCGCTTTATGACGACGCTTTTCTTCTCGTCTCTTCTCGTCTCGCCGCCAGCCACGCTGCACGCTCCTTTATTCCCTCGTCGTTGCTCTCTCCCCACTGACATTCCTTTTGCATCGTTCCCTTCCCAATCGCCTCCACCTCGCTGCGTCGTTTACCGCCAATTGATCTCCATTTTGGCCCCATTCTATCATTTACTCCAGACGCCCGACCCATCCTGCACCCAGCCTGCAGCAATACACCACCGCCTGCAGCTCCCTCTCCCAGCCTCTTCTCCTCTTGCATGTCCATCTTTGCATCCGCTCCCCTGTGCCTCGCGTCTTGACCTGTCTGTTTTCGACTCCCAAGGCCGACACGACCGATCCTCTACTTCCCTTTCTGGCCCTCACTGTTCCTCTGCAGCTCGACTACCCCGTTTTGTCCTGATTCGTATCTTTCGATTGGCATTTCACGGCGACCTTTCCACTTCCAGCGTCAGCATCGCCAGTGAACCATAACATCTAGTGGAACGGCCGGTTTACGGAACATTCTCAACCTTTCACCAACCTCGCAGGATTTCAGAGTTTCCCAGAGTCAAAACCGAAAAAGTGGGGGCACAAGGCGCTCAGAGAAGATCTGCGTCGTTTCTCCTCTTCTACGTCGTACACACGCTCGTTCTTCTTTCTTCTTCTCTTCCACCTTGTGTCTTGTCAGACTTTTCCTCTCGCCCCACACCTAGCCTTGACGTCGTGCGAGACAGTCGTACTTTCAGATCCGTCGGGGAAGGGCAAGAAAGAAAGAGACTTGAGCAGAAGACCGAAAGAAAACGAAAACAAAATAAAAAAAATCAGCGCAATATCACGGCCCCGGAGTATCTTGCTTTGATCTCAGCCTACGTCCATCCCGCCCACTTGCACCAAATATACCCTGCATCCTGCATCCTGCAAGCTGTGTTCTATACACTGGGCCGCACCACCCCTCTCCTTTTTCCTATGTGAGGCGAGCTTCACTTACACGACGGCCATCTCATTCACAAATCGGAGCCACACGAGACATTTGCATTGCTCCACGCCCATCAGCAACTTTGCCCAAGATATACCTTCTTTCGCCGCTTTATTAGGAGGACAGAGTGAATAAGACACATTGCATCCCCGGCACCTGAGACCTTGTTCCGCCCGCATTGTCTCGCCGCCCTTCCGACCACGCGGTCAACGGCTGTGCATTAGCCTGCTTCCTTGCCGGAAGTCTCAACCGTGCATTTGCATGCTGTGTTTTTGATGAGCATTGCACTTGTTTTACTCAGTTTCAACATCCTCTGTCCCGTTCGTCTTTTCTTCCCCTCTTTGCTTCTCCACGCTGGCACGCTTCACGGACGCGTTCCTGCTACCCAATTGGTGATCCCTGCACATGCACTGCTTTCGTGGTTGCCATTTCTGGCCACATACCCCTGTGCATATGCGCCAACACGGGGAGTGCATCTGAGGTGTTCAACCAAGACGAATGTGGCAAAGCCGAGCTCCCAGAACAGCAACGGTCAACATACGACTCAAGACGTTCAAAGATACAATCAGAGACAGAGCTCCAACCTCCATACGGAATAGATACGACCTCAGCAGCCCCCGTTGCTCAATCGTATCCCATTACCAGGCCAGCTCCAAACCAAGAGACGGATTCCCTTGGATCGACCCGCTTTGCAGTCTTACCGACTCTTGTTTTTGAATATCACGCTGGGCTTCCACGTTGACAACCATCCTTG